GCAATCGCAAAACAGTCATCGTATAGCAGTTTCGTCGTTTAACGAGGTACTAGTTAAGTGAGGCACCACTTTATATTAAATTGCTGCTGGGACTCTGTAAGAAACAAAGTGTTAAAATATGGGACTTCTAAGGATTTTTCAGAATAGTTGCTAAGTCCTGATATTCAAAGAAATAAATGAAAACAGAATTATACAAAGCTGTCTTCTATAATCTGTCCCTTGAATGCTGTTAATATTATTTTTTCTTTTTTTATTCCTGCTTTTTCCCTTTGTATGAATTTTTTTGAAGTGCCAAATGGGTTGTACTGTTATGTGGGGTCATGTGGAGTTCGGAGTTTTAATTTGTAAACCACCAAGAGTAGCGTTTTCCACTAAAGAGATGGTGTATAAATCAAATAAATGTTAAAAAGTCAGCATAAGTATTCTGTATTACACACCAGTCATGTGACTCGATGTGCAACAGTGAATGCCTGTGCTGACTTCTTAACTTATGGCAGTTCACTGCTGAAAATTACACCAATGGGAATACATTGATGTAAATATGTAATCGGATTCTAGTCATACTCTAGACAATAAGTTTCCATTTGTGAGTCATGCTAAGCAACATTCCTGTGCATGTGTTCTCAGCGCATCTTCCATTATCTTCAAAAGATGTATGATATTTTCTAACACCATGATGTGCTGTCATCTCTGATTATGTTAGTTACTTTTGGGTGTGAGTTTGAAATCCTTATTTCCTTGTCCACCCCTTCTAGACAAATGTGTAGTGCTTTCAGAATGAATGATCTGCCCAGATACAGAGGAAAGAAGGGAATCGTGTGCTAAGTGAAAAATCCTCTTGAGAGGATCTCTAGTTGGGATCAACATGTGGCTTGAGACTTAATTTATACTAATTGCCATCACAGAGTTATAAATTATGTCTATTATTTTTTTTGCAACAGATGAAGTAAAATCTTTGCGCTCTATCATCTCTCCACCTATATCTAAGTAAGTAAAGGTTGTTTCTCATATATATGTGTAGTGACTGTTCATTACCTATAAGAATGCTATGCCTGTTGGCAACAAACTTCCGTGTGAAAAGGTGGGTAGATGGAGAAGTATTTGTTGGAAGGAAGGAAAGTAAGTAGATATTAGGCATTGGACCAGGTTTGTGAAGTGACAGCATTTTAATTAGTGTTGGTAAATGACATGTTTTCTTTTTAAAAATTATATAACTGCTCTCTGCTTTGAGAGCTGTAGTCGCTAATGAGGTCAAGGGGAACATTATGAAGCACCGGAGAACTAAGTGCCTAGAAATTTGGTAGGTACAGTAAGTACTTGGCAGAACATTGTTTCTGCCAGAATAAGACAAACATTGTCTAAAATTAGCAGGGGCCTCAGTATTTGGAACTAGGGAATGAATACACTACACAGGTTAGGAAGTGAATGAATAAAACCAATACAAGATCATAGAGATGAACATCCTATCCAGGCAAAAAAATTTAATTGTTTTTTTAAACCTTAAAGTGTTATATTTCAGTATGAGCTTTCTTGGGTATACCCACTTTTTCAGACACAAAAAGAAGTGGTCTATCTATGAAAGATCACATTCAGGAAGAAAAAGAAGTGGCTGTATGTTTGAAAACTCACATTGAAATACGACAGTCATGAAGGCGCCCCAACATTTTTGTTTTTTGTTTGATCTGGATGTGCTTATGTAAACGAACATGGCTACTTCTTCGAAAAATTCAACATATCGGCGGATGATTTTTGTACCTGTGATGATTTGCCAGTTCCCAGATCCCAGAGACGTTGACGCAAAGTTCTGTAGCCTGTCACTGGTTTTCTGTATGTTGTAAAATAAGAAGACTTAATTTTTGTTTGGATCTGCCGTTGGCTCAGACTTTCCAGATGTCCTGCAGGTATCTTGTACAATAGCTCTCATTACTGCCAGCTAGCGTGCCCATTGACCTTTCAACTCAGGCATAATGTGGATTGTGCGATGTGAGATGGTAACAGATTGGATGAAGTAGCTTTCAATGTTATAAAGTGGTTATAAAGATCACAGTATTGTAAGTTGAAACTGAGGCTATCCTATTTTGGACACATCATGGGAAGACAGGATTCTCTGGGAAGGACAGTGGTGCTGGGAAAGGTGAAAGGCAGCAAGAAAAGAAGAGAACCAGGTATGAGATGGATAGACTCCCTAAACTTTAAGGAAGCCACAGGCTTGAGTTTGCAAAAGCTGAGCCAAACTGTTGAGGACAAGACATTTTGGAGATTGCTTCAAATGGGGTCACCATAGGTTGGGGGTGACTTGATAGCACACAATAACACTAACAACAACTATAGCTTAGGGTATGGGAGGAGATGTTCTTCTTGCTGTTATTACAAAATAATTGAGAGAGAAAAAACTCTTTGCTAATTTAATACTGAGAAATCAGATATGTCCTTGTAGGTTCTGATCTGCCATAGACTAAACTAAAATTTTATAGTTCAATTAACAGTGTGTAACTTCCTGATATAAAAAAAATTACTTTAGTGAGTTATTACATTGTGGTCTTGGCTAAAACACCCTTCTGGTTGCAATTGTGAGTGTTGGGTTGAGTTTTTTAGGGCTGGACAGAGGAGCAGATTCCGTTTCTACAGAATTAAGCTGTGTAAGTGATTGCTTGCTTTGTATGGAATTTGTAAATTAGTCATTTCAAAACTATGTACAGTATAAGTTAAATGAAGTTTTTTCCCCCTACAGAATCCGCAACATTGGCATCATGGCTCACATAGATGCAGGAAAAACAACTACCACAGAAAGGATGCTGTATTATTCTGGGTATACAAGAACTCTTGGAGGTTAGTAGTGTATGTTCTGTGTGTGAGTGAGTGAGTGAGTGAGGGATCATTAACAGAATAATTAGTGAAATCTGAGATCGTTCAGTATCTACTTTAGCCTCTTCATTTATGGAGATGCAATAGGTATTTTACAGCTCTGGGCTAAGTCTCATGCTAGGATGCACTTTGCTCACACCATCTTTGCAGGCTGCCATCCTCAACATCTGCACTTCCTGCTGGTTTCACCAGCTGGATTGGATCCATCCTCCCACTTCACAAACTCACAGGTCAACTGATGTCAGCGTGGAAAGGAGACAACTGGCAAAATGTCATCTTTGCTATTTCCACTCACTGGAGTTCTCACCATCTTGGTCTCTGCTCCGTTTTCATAGATGCCATCGGAATCAAGTATATTAGAAACCACCTTAAGTGCCAGTCCTGGGGAAAAGCTGCCCTATAAAATAAAGAACCTGCCCTGTCAGGGAGAAAATATTGACAGATAAGACTATTTTCGTAGCTCTACAGAGCCCTGTTTACAGGGAGCTGATTTCAGCAGCAAGTCCATTGATTCTAAGAGGGAATAGTATCATTTTATAAGTAGTGTAGCCTGTATAATTAAAAATTGTAAACCGCCCGGAGAGTGCTTGTAGTGCTATGGGGCGGTATATAAGTCCAATAAATCCAATAAGTCCAATAAATAAATAAATAGTGTCGAAGTTTGGTTTTCTTCTCTCTCCCAATCCCCTTTCATTTTGCGTTTTATTTTTTAGGTCATGATATTTAAGAATTGTGTTTCATGTCTTTTTAGAAATTGTAGCACACTGTGTTTTATTTTGATAAACGAAACCAAGACTAAGTTTTTTGACTCAATGAAACAGATGTTGACGACGGAGACACTGTGACAGATTTCCTGGCACAGGAGCGAGAACGTGGCATCACCATTCAGTCAGCTGCTGTCACATTTGATTGGAAGGGCCATAGAATAAATCTTATAGATACACCAGGTATGATCTTTTAGAGGTGTTTTCTAATACTGATAAAAATGACAAGATTAAGGAAACTGTGACACAATGAGCAAAATCCTGTTCTCATTCACTCACATGCGCCTGTGTCAATGTGCCGGGTGTAACACCCAGTAACAAGGAACTGAGCAATTTAGTTGTGCAGTTGGTTGTGTATCCCTGGCATGGCTGAATTGCACAATGCATTGGCAGAAGTGCTTTGTTGATAATGCTCTGCCTCAGTGCTGTTGTAGCTACTGTGGGCACAGTGTTGAGTTCCATCTGTGTAGTTACTCAACAGGATTTTGTTCACTACGTCCCTGTGGCACTGGAGATATGTACGTGGCTTTAAGCATTTTGATAAAGTCTTGAAGATGGCTTCTTGGGAATTAATTTATTTGTACAGTGAGCATAATTCCACAGGAATCATCACCTGTTTCATTTTCAGTAAAGTGAATAGGAGTGGTACAAGATTGCAAATATTCCTGTGTGGGATAAATTATCCTTTTAGCACACACATGCACAAATCTGTTTTTGTGTTTTATGCACCATTTGCTTGTTTGTTTACATCTGTAGATTGCCTCATTAATGCAGTGCACTATTCTGCGTGCTTTAGAACATAATAAAAAGAAAACAAATGAAAGACAATAATTTGATAACTAAACCCATCAAATAAAATTAACACAACATACATCAAGAGGCAAAATTTTCCAAATAGGTGGTAGAGCAAAAGGCATGTGAATCAGACAGAGTTGTGTTGAAAGGCCTTTCTGAAGAGCAATGTCTTCAGTAACCATCAAGTCACATCCAATTTATGGCAATCTGAATTCGGTTTTTAAAGGTATGTGAGATATAAGAGAACTTTTCCTGGTGACATTTTCAAGGTATGTGAGATATTTAAGGAGAACTTTTCCTGGTGACCCCCTCCCTGTGCTGAGTTTCTGTGGTGGAGCAGGGATTTGAACCCAGGTTTCCTGTATTCTAGTCTTGTCACTTTACGCAACACTAGTACTTAGATATCTTATACATAGTTTTAATCAGCAGTGTTCAGATTTGTGTGGGCTTTAGGGCTGTGTTGGACAGGCTTTGGTCATGTGAGATTGACATGCCTTGGGAGAAGACAGAGCCATGGAAAGAAGTGTTTGGATCTAAGTCTGTAGTGGCCGGATCAATTCTGTGCTGACCCCAACTGGTTTATGTCCCCTTTCACCTGCAGAAGAATGGCTGGAGGCAGTATAAGCAGTTCATTTTGGACATGTTCGTTCCAGTAGCAAATTTTTGCACCTTCTAAATTTTGGAGCCCTGGGTTAAAGCTTAGTCACCCACCCTATTTACAGTGCTGGTCTTACATAAATTCTCCATATTAAAAAAAAGCTCTGCCTTTTGTAATGTAGCTGTCTATATTCACTAAGAGCGGTTACACATTCTTGCCGTACATATATGATTAATTCGTTGTTTTTGATCATAGATTAAATGCCAGTTCATAACAACTCATGGAAGAGAAAAGGAGTAAAGAAATACTCCTTTTCTAATGCTGTTGAAATGTCACAACGCTTATGCCCTTTCTTTTTCTTTCTCTCTCTTTTTTTCTCTCTCCCTCCCTCCCTGGGTGTACTTACCGTTAGGTCACGTGGACTTCACTCTGGAGGTGGAGCGTTCCCTGAGAGTACTAGATGGAGCAGTAGCTGTGTTTGATGCCTCAGCTGGTGTGGAGGTAAAAATGGCTCTGTAGTGAACAGGATTATTTTATGTTGAGGTTTTTTAAGGATCCATGATCTTAGCTGAGAAGAATTTGGAAAGGAACATTTTTTCCCTGAGATCCAAACCAGAATAATTTCCTGCTTTGAACCATATAGCCCCCCCCCACCAGCAGGTGGCAACTAATTAAATACTTCCAATGTTGGGGTGTGCGTGACTTGTGCACAAGGATATGAAGATGATAATGCTGAAACTGAAAAAGGAAATTCTCAGTTAGCAGCAATTTGCTACTGATGTCATATTGTGCAGACAAGAGCTGTGGAACAGGATACTGGCCTTTGTTGGTAGTATAGATTTGGGCAGTGCAGATGATGCCAGCCATGTGCATTGCACATGTGCAGTAAGTGGTCCAGTGGGTTCTCAGGGTGTGGGTTAATCAGGTGGGCCACCTGTGCTGGTAAGCTTTGTATTTGTATATGAATATGAAGCCCCCATCTCCAATCTCTACTCATAGAAGCTTTCGGGATCCACAGTTCTTATATCTGTCTTATCTTCTTTCTGCTAGAAAAAGGGGCAGAGGAGTGCTGCAGAAACAGCCTCAGGGGTCACAGGGAACCCAAGTGCCATGCTTTGCTGACCCCGTTTGCAGGCAGACAACAGTCAGACGTATCAGCCAAAATATGTGATGTTTTCCATCTTTGCTTAGGCACAGTCTCTGACGGTATGGAGACAAGCAGACAAGCACCATATACCACGAGTTTGCTTTTTAAACAAAATGGACAAACATGGAGCAAGGTACTAAGTTGGCTATTCTTTTTCAAGACGGATGAAACCAGAAAAGTCTTTTGTATGATGTGAGGATGATTTCTAATTAAGAGAGAGGCTTGTAATATAATGGTGGAAAGCCTGTTGCTTAGTGTAGTAAGTCACCAAATAAGGCCTGTTGAATCTGTGGAGATTATAAATTGTCTTACCAAGTCCCCCCTGATTCAATTAGCTTACTCTAGTTGTGACTTGACTGCACTAAGGAACAAAATTTCAGCCAAAAAAAGATGACTGTTAATATTTAGTAGATGGTTTAATTTATTTTAACTACCTATGAATAGTCATTTTTGGGTTGTTTGGGCCGAGAGAGAGAAAAAAATCCTCCTAATGACCAAGTTGTTTGATTTATTCTTTAATACCACAGACAACTGAGGTGGGTAATCACAGATGGGCTAGGAAAAGAATGTTGTCAGCAACAAGCCAACTTTGGTGGGTATTTGCAAAGCTCTTCTTAAAACTTCTGTTTGAAAAGTTAAAGAAGATTTAAGATGCTTGCAAAGTGTGTGTTAAACTTATAAATCTTGCATACCAGTCATTTTTTTTAAGCTGCACCATCTCAAATAGCACTCTGTCTTTGCAAACAAGGCTTCTTCCCTGTGGGCAGGATTTGTTACCTGGATTCCTGTGTGTCTCCCAGCCTTTCAGATCTGAAGATTACAGATGCTGTCCTTGGGCTATTTAACATAAGGACACTGTGTGCACCATAGCATAGAGTCAAAGAATCATGGAGTTGGAAGGGCCATCAAGTCCAACCTCCTGCTCAGTGCAGGAATCCAAATCAAAGCAAATCTGACAGATGGTTGTCCAATTTTTCTCTTGAATGTCTTAATAGCTGCTGGTTCTGTGCAAGTAGCCTTCTCCAGCATCCCTGTAGTTATATGGGTAGGTGGGAAGCAGCTGTGACAATCTGAAAATCTTATTTTGCTGTGTTAAATGTGACTCTTTATGGTAATATGGAAGTGCTAGGGCTGATGGCCCTTGATCCTCTTCCCCCTGTAAACCTCAGGTTGGGCTACCAGTGTATCTGTAGTTCTGACCTAACAAACTATTACACTAAGTTAGTTTTAATCGTTTATGGGGAACCTCTTATTTGGCAATGCTGAGTGGAGCTGTTGGGAGTTCTGGAGATCTCAAAGTTCCCTTCTTAGGCCTGTATGTTAATTCTTTAGTGGATAGCTGAAAAGTTATCCTAGCGGCTGAGTGGGAAGTGTTGAACTGGAGAGCTCATTCATTGGAAGCTGTGTCGGGTGTAGATTTTCTGGGGCCTTTAGGTCAAGATGCTGTTTCTGTTTTTTATATTAAAAGCCTCTCTGTTTTTTATTATTATTATTACTATTAGTTTTATTTGTATGCTGCATTTTTCCCAAAAAAAGGGACCCAGGGTGGCTCACAGCATTAAAATTCACACAATTAAAACACAAGAGGTTGTTTCCTTAGAATACAGATGGCAATCTTTTTGGAGTTGATATATATTAAAATTACTAATAGTGTTGTAACATCATCATCATCATCATCATCATCATCATCCAAGGATTCCGTTATAACTGTTAAAAGCCTGCCTGGAGAGATGGGTCTTTAGCTTTTTTCGGAAGGATAAAAAGGAAGGGGCCATCCTGATCTCCCGAGGGAAAGCATTCCATAGCCTGGGAGCTGCCACCGAGAAGGCCCTCTCCCGTGTCCCCATCAGCTGTGCTTGTGCTGGCAATGGGACTGGGGAGGGGGGTCTCCTCTGCTGATCTTAATTGCCAGGAAGGCACATATAGGGACATACAGTCCTTCAGGTAGCCTGGACCCAAGCTGTATAGGGCTTTATAGGTAATAACCAGCACTTTGAATTGGGGCCAGAAGCGGACTGGTAGCCAGTGCAGTTCTTCATACAGTACAATATATGCTCCCTGTAGCTGGCCGCAGTCAGTAGTCTGGCTGCAGAGTTTTTCCGAACTGTCTTCAAAGGCAGCCCCACATAGAGCGCATTACAGTAATCCAAATAGGATGTAACTAAGACATGTGTCACTGTAGCCAGATCCAACATCTCAATGTTCATCTGATGTTTATCTGTCCCTGGTGGGTGGTGGGGTAATGCATTTGTGTGACAGGGTATATCAATAAAATATAAACAAGCATTTTTCACAATGAAAGAATAATAATTTGTCTTCAGTTTCTCCCATGCAGTTGAGAGTATCAAGCAGAAGTTGAAAGCAAAACCTCTACTTTTGCAGGTAATTAGAAAAAAATGACTTTAAAAGAATTATTGATGCAGTTGCTTTACAGTTTTAATAGTGTTTCATGTAAGAGTTTGATATTGCATTGTTATAACTGTGGCCTTTGTTTTTTGTGCACCCCACACATAGTTGCCCATCGGAGAGGCAAAGACATTTAAGGGAGTCATTGATGTGGTGACCAGAGACCAACTCGTTTGGGAAGCTGCAGCCAGATACAATGATGGAAAGACTTTTGAGCGGAAACCTTTGAAAGAAACGGACAGTACGGACTTGTTGAAGGAAGCCACAAATGCAAGAAATGCCCTAATAGAACAAGTAAAGTTTGGAAGTAAATATATAGGACCCTTGAAATCTCTAATTAGATCATAGTGGCTTGGGTTGAGAGACATGTCGCCTTAAAGAAATGGGCAGTGGATGAATTTCTCCCTGTGTTCCCTCTCTCCCAACTCTCTTAAGACCTTTTTTTCCAAACAGCATTGGGCTCAGAAGTGGAATGGGCTCTTGAGCGAAGGGTGCAGGGGAATGGGGGCAAGTTGCAAGCAAGAGGCCTCTGTGAGTGGCAGCACCACCACTTCCCCTGACACTGTCTCAGATCCATGACAGTTTGGTTTTATATAGTGCTTTCAAGCTATGGGGATATTACGGCCCTTTCTAATGAATAGTGAAAAATTAGGTTGCTGCCTGTGAACTCAATCAGAGAAACTTCCACGTTCCTTTTGTTAGGTAATTTGGAGGCCTACATCATGCAAGAAGATTCATGTACATTGCTACTCATAGAGGTCCCATTTATCTATTTTATCAAAACTGTATGTTATTAGGAAGCTGCTAATGTTTCCAGGCATGTTAACAAACATGGAAGGGCTCATAATTTTCACCCAAGACTAAATGGTAGGTGGATGCCCTTGCCTCACTCTCTCATAATGTATTATGCTGGTTCCAGCCTTGCTTTCTAAAGCTGCAGGAGAAAATGGATGGCAGCTTTCTTCTGAAGATAACTTCAGTTGAGTGTCATTCAGAACCTGTTGTGCAACAGTGTTCAACCGCATGCACATTAGCTATTAAAAATGCTTCTGCAGGCAGCATTGATTCTGCTGAGTGGCAGTAAGTGTGCTGAGTGGCAGTAAGTGTGCAATCAAACCTTTTGGATCGCTTGTGGCACAGTCTGATGTCAGCTGTTTTCCAGTGATCGCACGATGTGTAGGAGATTGGCAAACCAGATGACCCTGCTCCATGCCCAAGCTGGAGGTTTTTGGTTCAGTAGCAGGACTGCTCCTTTTGGGGGCTGCCTGCAGCGATTCCTCTAGGGCAGGAGGGTTGCTTTAAGGATAGGGGCTGGACTATATTTCCCAGAATCTCCCAGCCAGCTCTGCTGATTTAGAGGTGGATTGTAGGAGCTTTTGTAGATGAAAGCGAACAAAACAAACAAACTTCCCAGCTCTGCTATTGATCCTTAAGCAAACTGAGCACATGGCCTGGAGGGTTTCAAGTTGTCCTTCGGGAATATGGAATGAGGGAAATAGAGCATAGGGCAGAGGGACTGGGCTGAGTTCATATGGTTTTCCATACAAGGTATACTAGTCTTCCCCAACCTGGTGCCTTCCAGGTGCTGGTTAGTACAACTCCTATCAACCCCAGACAACATGGCCCACTTTTAGGGATCATATGAATTTTAGTCCAAAACATCTGGAAAGCATCATGTAGGGGAAGGCTAATGTATGCCATCGCTCCCTGTTTATAAGGACAAACATGTATTAGAGCCTTATGGTGCAGTGGGTAAACTACAGTACTGGAGCGAAGACTGCTCACAACCTGAGTTCAATCCTGGGTACAGGTAACTGGCTCAGCCTCCCATCCTTCTGCATAATTAAATTATAAACGCAGAGAGAGTTTTAAGCATAATGTGGCGGTATATAAAAAGCACATATTGATTTGGTTTGCTTTTACATAAACAGTCCATCCAACCACTGCTGGAGAGACCTGGGAACTCTGATAAAACAATCTCCAAAGTATCTAGTCCTAAACAAAATGCAACACCACTTCCGTTCATTTTCTAGAGCAAATATGCATTCATGCCTACCCAAGCCTTTTTAGCTGCTCTCAAATAGGCACATCTCTTCTATCTTCATAATCTCAACCAACTGCACCCTCACCTGGAACAAGGTTCTTTCCCCCCCCCACCCCTTTATTTTAGCTCTCTTTGCAGTTATCTCTCCTCCTTGGAAGAATCTTGTGAGAGAATGTAGGCTGTGAAAGAGTAACAGTGGCTCAAAATGTTTTTATGGGTCTCCACTCCTAGTCCATTGCTTAGCCCTTCAGTATAATAAACAATGGTCTGTGTTTGGTAGATGAAGCCTTATTAATGTACTGTGACTGCTACTTGGTAGATTAATTCTTGCCTTCTCATTTTCTGAGGAAATTGTTGCCAACTTGTTTGAGAGTTGTTTGATTCCCCCCTCCCCCCCCCACACACATAGTTCTCATTGTCTATGGTTTTTACCAGTCTAAGATTGATATATTTGTATAAGCCTAAACTAGGAATTCTGTGAATTTTCAGTCCATTTGCTATTGATTTAAAATTCTCTATAACTAATTTTAGCTATTTATAGAGTTTTCTTTCATCTCCCAATTGGCTATTTGAGTATAGACATTTGGCAGATAAAAATGAACTGTCAGGGGGTTAACTTAAATAGTGCATAATGGTAGAAATGTATTCTCTCTTGTAAGGTTGCAGATCTGGATGATGAATTTGCTGAACTGGTCCTTGGGAATTTTAGCGAGAGTTTTGACTCATTACCAGCTGATGCGGTATGTGGCTGAGATTGCTTATTATGTCGATTGGATATTATTGAACATTATTGAACAGATTAATTGTTCCCATACTTACAAGATGTGTGGTGCAAAAGAGTACTCAATGGTTAGAAAAGAGTGATGGGGGTACGGTATCTGTGAATTTACAGTGGTGCCCCGCATAGCGACGTTCATCCGTTCCAGGATTAATGTCGCTATGTGGATTCGTCACTATGCGGGGGGGGGACCCCATAGGAACGCATTAAAACGGGCTTATTGCGTTCCTGTTGGGGCGAAAACTCACCGCTATGCGGGGAATCCTCAATCCGGCCACCATTTTCGCTGCCCAGTAAGCGAGGGCAGGGTGCGAAAACGCTGCGGGAGACCATTTTGCGGATGCGGTGGCCATTTTGAAACCGCCGATCAGCTGTTTAAAAAACATTGCAATGCGGAGATCGGTAAGCGAAATGCTTACCGATCATCGCAATGCGATGTTTTCCCTATGCGAATTCGTCGTTAAACGGTGCGCTCGTTAAGCGAGGCACCACTGTGTTTTGGTAAAGAGAAAATTCAGACAACAGCAGGTGTGGAGGGAGAATTTAACTTACAGGTTTCATTATTCCATTTATTTAGGTATTTTAAATGTTTGTTTATATATTTAAGTATTTGTGTATGTAAGTGTTTATAAGCTGAATTTTTTTAGACTAGGTCCATCCAAGATGGGCATTAATCTGTTGGAAATTAGCCAGTGAGCAATCTTTTTTTCATCACCTAGAAACAGTGAATATATAGGTCATCATCACTCCAGTCTCTCCAGGTTTCAGGATAGTTCTCTTCTGTGCGAGTCTTGGTCCATGCCAGAATGCAGAGGCCCCAGCATGTTCCGTGTAGACAAAGGAACTTTGTATTGACATTTTCCAAATAGCATGGCTTTTTGAACATGATGAAAGTTTTTGTTTTCCTTCTCTCCTCTCCTGAATTTGTAAGCGGAACAGAATGCAATTTAAAGATGTGATTCACAGTTCAAAGGAAAAGATTTGTGGTATCTTGAAGACTACCAAGTTTTTGTGGATTATAACCTGTTTCTTCCAATGCCTCTGAGTATGTGGGTGGAAGAAGTCTACAAAATCTTATGCCAGACTTTTAAAAGTTACTCTTTAAGATACCATAAGACTGTTATGTATGTTGCAGCAGGCTAAGTCAGATATACTGTTGATTCACAGTTGATATTTGATCTGTTTATGTTTTTGCATCCATCTGATCTACCTATTAAACTGAATTTTAAGTAATTATATGTTAAAACTGAATCTTCTACAGTTACATTCTGCTGTACGAAGAATAACCCTAGCTCAGAAAGCTGTACCTGTGTTCTGTGGAAGTGCACTGAAAAATAAAGGTGTTCAGCCTTTATTAGATGCAATCACCAGGTATCTTCCTGCACCAAATGAATGCAATTATGACTTCGTGTGAGTAAGAGGCTTTTTTTCCTTCACCACCCAAATAAGTTAACCCTTGTGATTTGAATGAAGTATTTTATTATTATATTGGCACTTTATTATACTTTTGGCTTTTAATACAGGTTGTAAACTGACTTGGGAATAAAAAGTGGTACAGAAATGGTTTAATAAATTAGAGGGGAAAGATATTTAAGCACAAATTAGGAAAGCTATGACATGGAGACTGTAGATTAACCTCTTATGGAGAACAGATATAAATAACAGGCTGGATCCTAACAAGAAAAACACCATTGGATACATGGATATGAAAAGCACGTAGAGAACAAACTTGAGAAGGAATAAGCTAATTGTGACAGTGCATATGCATGGTTTAGCCCTGTGGTAATTCCTGTTCATTGGAGATGGCTCACACACTTACTTTAGTCTACTAAGCAGTTCTGTTGTTTCAGTTGAGCAGATTAGAACCAAAAATGTATATTCAATTATTCAGGGAAAATGGCATGTTAATTTTGGTGTTAGAATTATCAGTAAGTACTGAGTTCTGCATTACTAAGCATGCTGCTAAATCTTATGCAATTTGTTCTTGTAGAATCACTCCCTTATGGCTTCTTTTGTCTCTCTAGGCAGTGGTATAAGGATGACTTGTGTGCACTGGCATTTAAAGTTGTCCATGACAAGCAGCGTGGACCACTGGTTTTTTTACGCATCTACTCTGGCACAATGAAGCCTCAGTCAGCTGTCTATAATATTAACAAAAATTGCAAGTGAGTAAAAAGAGTGAAGAAAGTGTGGAAACTGAGCCATATGGATGTTGTGATGGTTGCCAAGTTCAGGGAGCCCCTCTCTAGCCACTAGGGAACTGGCCTAGCTCCAGTGCCTCGCAACACCCCAGTCTACCCAGACTATGTAGTGCTTCCAGGGTGGTCCAAGAATCATCCACAAGGCTGGGCACTCAGAACCACGGTGCCTACCTTGCAAGCTAGAACTGATACCACATAAAAATACCAGAATGTCCAGTAGCTCATCAAGGCGAGACTTGGTTTTAGTACTACAAGCCCTCGGAACCAAAAATCCAGATGGGTGGTTGGAGATATTTTTATATTTTATTAAAGATAGCACACATACCCTGGCAAAATTTCCAAAAGGTTTCAAAAAGTACTTGGAGCAAAAAAAAAATAAAATGATAATTTGGGTCAAAAGCTGAGATAATCAGGAGAACACATCAGACAATAGCAAAACTAAACTAATTTTCCTAATATTCACATATCAGCATAAAGTCAGCAAAGTTCTGAAGCATAAACAGAATGCATCCTCCCAGGTCCAGCATGACAGAACAGCAACTGAGGATAGCATCTCCGAGAGGCAAGCTAAGCCAACTAAAATAACTTTTGGATTCCTTTTCGTACGTTAAATATCACATTCTGGACCTCACCCATCGGGTTTCAAGTTTCCTCAAACATTCACAAAGACAAGAGCATGTTCTGCCCCCTTCACACAGCTGAAATCATTTCCCATTGGGTATAGCAGTGGTCCCCAACCTTGGGCCTCCAGATGTTCTTGGACTTCAATTCCCAGAAATCCTGGCCAGCAGAGGTGGCGGCGAAGGCTTCTGGGAGTTGTAGTTCAACATCTGGAGGCCCAACGTTGAGGACCACTGGGGTATAGAACCAGGGAACAAGCCAACTTGGCCTTGAAGGCTTCTCTTTCAAGAGATAAACTGCAGGTGTTACACTGTTCTCGTTACTGTGCCTCACCTTCCCAGCCAGCTATTCCCAGGCACTGACAGGGAAGTCTGAATTTTCAAGATGGGCTCCATGTTCCCTCAATTTATCAGTTTCTTCACAGATGTTTCTATAAGTACTGTAGTGTAATGTCTAACTTCATTCATCCTTTGCAGAGAGAGAATGAGTCGCTTGCTTCTACCTTTTGCGGACCAACAAATAGAAATCCCGTCAGTAACAGCTGGCAACATTGTTCTGACTGTTGGGTTGAAACAGGTGAAGAAATAAAATAACTCTTAAACATTTTATACTGTAAGCCGCCTTGAGTCCTTTTCAGGAGAAAAGTGGGGTATTATTATTACTGTTACTATTGCTGTTTTACTTTTATTACTAGCATTCCATGAAAATTAACATAGGAAGTTAACAGGTTTATTGATCGACTTATGCTTTCCCCAGTGGGAAATTGGCAATGTTGAATAATTTTCTTGGTTTAATCCATTTCATGGGATATGTTTTTTCGTTTTGTGCTATAAAATTTTAGTGTAGCTACAGGTAGCGTGGCATATAAGGCTTAATTTTCCAGTGAGAAATAACACCATCAAATAAATTTTGTTTCACTTCTTTTTAGTATTGGCAAATACAACTGTTAGAGAAAGTTGTTTAGTGCAAAATAAAGAACTTTTTAAAAATTTCTGTCATCCCTAATTGGGTTGTCTTTGAATGGAGGAATTAGGAACTTCAATCATTGCTTTTGAATGGTGAAAACCAATTAATTAGATGTTGACTAGACTTGTTTCACTTCATGTTTGGCATGCCTTAGAGTGCTACTGGAGACACCATTGTTTCATCCAAGGCTTCTGCAGTGGCTGCAGCAAAACAAGCTGGTCGAAATGTGGGGTCAAGGTGCGGTCATACCAGTGGAACAGAGAACCTCCTCTTGGCTGGCATTGAGATTCCAGACCCTGTCTTCTTTTGTACAATTGAGCCACCTTCCATGGCAAGGCAAGCAGGTAAGACACTGGTGTTGAAAACACCTGGTCCTGTAATGGGTCGATCTCTTCACTGAACAAATGGAGTTTTCTGTTTATCAATAGGCACAATGTGAAATTAAGATTTTCTGAAGAACTTTGCTTATTAAAACAGCTGTTACCCTATTCTTAGATTGTGTATTGTTCTGAAGAAATTGAATTTTCTGTTTGCTGATGCACGCCATGTAAAGATTTACAACAGTGCCTGTTCTGGTGCCAACTGCAGTTGATGGAGAATGTGGTGGTTGTGGTGTATAAACTAGCAGTTGTTTTTAGACTATTGGCCTAATTCAGCTTCTACACAAAGATCCCAAAAATAGCAGCTTTAATGTAGCAGTACAGGGATATGAGCAGACTGTGCAAAGTAGCTTTATCTGTAGTCACAGATTTGCTAATAAAATCCTAGTCCATTTAAAAGTGGACTAAAACTACTTTTTCAGTGGGATGATGTACAAGAATAATGATTGGTGACAATGGATCTTTTACTTGAATATCACTTCTCTTCTCCTGTCTTTACTTTCCAGATATTTGCTTCTACCATTGAGTTGACATGAAAAGCAAATACGTTACTTATGCATCGTATTTCTGTTCTAGATCTGGATAATGCCTTGGCTTGTTTACAGCGAGAAGATCCAAGTTTAAAAGTCAAGATAGATGCTGACACTGGACAAGTAAGATCTACCATATCCTTAAGGCTACTTCTCTTAATATTGTACGGCCTGGGTTTCATTGATAGCATTGTAATGACAATTTTAATCACTACATTTGATTTTAATAATTGCACAAAAGTTTTGCAGTCATTTAGGCTATATCATTCTCCATTACAGACTTGAATTGAACAGCCTTAGGAAACTCTTGCATGCTATTTTTCTGCATTTTTTGAAAAAAGATAAAAAGCTAGTTCTTCGTAGCCTCTGTGAATCACACCCTGGGTGATCTGCACCTGTGTGGAGCCTCATCGGAAAGTTCTAGAGCTTCTGCAGTAGCAAAAACCACATTAGAATAAGGCACCTCCCCCCTCATATAAGTACCTTGGCACCAAGGCTCCCCTTTCAGTTTCTTTCAACCGCCATGTTGAGAGCCTCATAGTTTCTGCTTCTGTGAGTAAAATAGAGAGTTTATTCTTGATTCCTTCCCTTTATCAATCTTTTTTTCCTTTAAGTTTTTAGTTCAATTCATTATCTTCAAAGATTTTTTTTCCTTTCTGCTTCGCTCGGCCCCTGGCTGCAGCAACCCCCCTCAGTCATCGTTTTTTCTCCTCAAATTGTTTTCTCCTATTCATGGCCCCCTTGGGCCTGTTTAAACACTGCGTGGTCTGTGATAACAAAATACCACTCTCAAACGGCCACGCCAAGTGTCTTTTTTGCTTGGGAGAGGCACACAAAACATCCTCCTGCCAGCATCGTAAGAACTTCAAGCGTGGAGTCCTCCGTTCTCACTTATCCAAATTAAAACTCCGTCTTTGGGAACAATCCCTTCAACCAACCAAAGTGGCCCAACCTCCTTTTAAGGCCACCTCACAAGCCAAAGCAATGGAGAAGGCTCTTTCTGAACCCTCAAAACAACTTCCATCGGCCACATCATCTCACTCTGACACTCCATCCATTTCGTCTAACACTTCAAAAACCCATAAATTGAAGTGCTCAATACCGAAATCCTCGATATTGAAGCCCTCCACTAAACGTCAAATATTCACCGAAGCCTCTTCGGTTCTGGAGCCTTCTCGATCTAAAAGACCTAAACAGCATACATTTAAAGCTGCAGTCATTTCTCAGCAGTCTCAACGAACCGCCAAATCAATCTCTATTGCCTTCTGACAATGACGGAATCCCCTCTCATCAACTCTGCTCTCAGTCACCAGAATGGGATGACAGAGCCGATCGGCTAACAGTCAACTCCTGATGCAATTCCGATTACAGTGGTGCCTCGCATAGCGACGATAATCGGTGCAGCAAAAATCGCTGCAAAGCGATTTTGTCGCTATGCGATATAAAAAAGCCCATAGGAATACATTGAAACCCCTTCAATGCATTCCTATGGGCTTCAGACTCACCTTTAAACGAAAATCCTCCATAGGGCGGCCATTTTCGCTGCCCGGTAAGCGAGGAATCCGTCCCAGAAAACAGCGGGTGGCCATTTTTTTTACCCAGTGGCCATTTTGGAACCGCCGATCAGCTGTTAAAAATCATCACTTTGTGATGATCGGTAAGCGAAACGGTACCGATCATTGCAAAGCGATTTTTCCCCATTTAAAACATCGCAGTGCGATCGCTTTTGCGATCGCAAAATCTTCATCGCTATGCGATTTCTTCGTTAAACAGGGCGCCCGTTAAGCGAGGCACCACTGTATTTTGATCACAGATCCAGACCTCAGATCCCATCAGTATTACTTACCTCACTGGAATCCGACCTTGTTGATGATGACCTAACATCACTGGTGGAAGACTTCCAAACTTGCTCCTTATTAAAGCTCCTTTTGAGCCTTTAGCTTCAACCGATTTATGGCTACTTACCTTTAAAACAGTTTTCCTCTTTGTCATCACCTCAGTTCAACGAGCTAGTGATTTAGTGGCCTTACATCACGACTGTCCTTATTTACAGTTTTTTTTCAAAGTCAAACTATCCATGGATATTTCTTTCCTCCCCAAAGTCGTATCTCAGTTCCATCTCTCTCAGTTGTTTATCCTTCCTTCTTCCCGTCACCGTCCACAACTCAACGCCCGCTGTTTTCAGGCACGGATTCCTCGCTTTAGAGGCACCAAAAATGGCGGCGCTATGGAAGATCTTCGCTTAAAGGTGAGTTTTAAGCCCATAGGAACGCATTAATCGTGTTTTAATGCGTTTCTATGGGCTTTTTATTTTCACTTAGCGATGTTATCGCTTAGCAGCAAATTTTTCTGCACGTATTAACATCACTAAGCGAGGCACCACTGTAGTTTCCACATTAGCCATATCTTCTAAACACATAATTCTTTAAAATTTACTTCCTAAAGTGAATTAAATCATAGACTTACAAGTAAAAAGTTACCAGTTCCAGTTTAGTTCTGAAAATGAAGTTGCAAGACTTATATTACCATTATCTACAATAGTTTTTTTCCTATACTGTATAAAAAAATCTCACTCTCACTTAAAAGGACCCAGCCGCCTTGAGTTCTTTTAAGGAGAAAAGTGGACTAAAAATATTTGGAATATTTTAAAAAAATAAATAAATAATATTTGGGTAGTGTTCTAGTAAGTTAATATATGTTTCTAAGGTCACATTACAATAAAAAATGGTTTAAAATGGCAGGTTACCCACCTGTAATTGTAGTTCTTTGAGTGGACCTCTGTGAGTCACACATCCCACCCATCCTCCTCACTGTCACACCATTCTGCTTAATGTAGCGGTGGTTGACACAACTGAAAGGGGAGCCTTGACATCAAGGTACTTATACGAGGGGAAAGGGCCTTATTCTAATGTGTTTTTTGCTACCGCAGAAGCTCTAGAACTTTCCAGTGAGGCTCCGCGCAGGCGCGGATCACCCAGGGTGTGAATCACAGAGGTCCACTTAAAGAACTACAATTACAGGTGGGTAACCTGCCATTTTAAACCATTTTTTATTGTAATGTGACCTTAGAAACATATATTAACTTACTAGAACACTACCCAAATATTATTTATTTATTTTTTTAAAATATTCCAAATATTTTTAGTCCACTTTTTTCCTTAAAAGAACTCAAGGCGGCTGGGTCCTTTTAAGTGAGAGTGAATTTTTTTTATACAGTATAGGAAAAAAACTATTGTAGATAATGGTAATATAAGTCTTGTAACTTCATTTTCAGAACTAAACTGGAACTGGTAACTTTTTACTTGTAAGTCTATGATTTAATTCACTTTAGGAAGTAAATTTTAAAGAATTATGTGTTTAGAAGATATGGCTAATGTGGAAACTACAGTGGTGCCTCGCTTAGTGATGTTAATACGTGCAGAAAAATTTGCTGCTAAGCGATAACATCGCTAAGTGAAAATAAAAAGCCCATAGAAACGCATTAAAACACGATTAATGCGTTCCTATGGGCTTAAAACTCACCTTTAAGCAAAGATCCTCCATAGCGCCGCCATTTTTGGTGCCTCTAAAGCGAGGAATCCGTGCCTGAAAACAGCGGGCGTCCATTTTGTTTACCTGGTGGCCATTTTGAAACCGCCGATCAGCTGGCCGAAAATGGGGGCTTTGCGATGATCGCTTCCCTGCGATCATCACAAAGCGAATTTCCCCCATAGGGACCGTCGCAAAGCGATCGCTTTTGCGATTGCAAAAACAGCATCACTAAGCGATTTCGTCGCTATACGGAGCGATTGCTATGCGAGGCACCACTGTACACCATTGTGACGTAGCAGATAGAGTGGCAGATTAGGACTCTGGCAATCAGCATTCGAATCCGCATTGGCCCTGAAAATTTACTGTAGGTGTGGAGCTGGTAAAACCACTTATCGTGAAAGCCCTGTAAGGATTGCTATATGTCATTATTGGCTTGGTATGTATGAACCTACCCACAAGAATCAGAATGGGGACTTTATATTTCTCATTTAGGAGTGGACTAAAAATTATGAATTTTCTTAAGCCGAGCAACAGGATTTTAGTCAGTGTTTTTGTAGAGGGTCCTCATTGTGCTCAGCTCAGTAAACAGTGGCTGAATTCAATACTAAGTTGGAACTACAGTAGACCCATGAGATCAGTGGGAATTTGGTAAGTTCCTCCGTAAGTTCCATTGATTCAATGGGCCTACTCCAGTTGCAGTTTACTACTGGATTTCAGCCAGTGTCCATTAACATAGATTGAAATTACTGGTCAATATGTTCTGCTTACTGCATAGTAATTTCCCCATTTGCAGTCAACCCATACTTAGTACTGTGGCTTGAAAGAGAATGAAGTAATAAGCATTAAAAAAAAAGAACAAGCTATGATAGAGCTGGTGCTTTTGATATAACTGTTAAGGATCATTCTTACGCTTTTGCCAGACTATTCTTTGTGGCATGGGAGAGCTGCACATTGAGATCATTCATGATCGAATCAGACGTGAATATGGACTTGAGACCTTCCTTGGACCTCTCCAAGTAGCTTACCGAGAAACTATCCAAAATTCAGTTCAAGCTGTAGGTAAGTTCACTGTTAAGGTCTTTAAAGTGGATGACTGAAAGCTGGCAATTAACACTTTACATGCTAGCTTTTTAAAAGCACATTGTTCATTGTATTTCTAATACATCACAGATACACTGGACAGAACCATAGGAGAAAAACGACACCAGGTGACTGTAGAAATGGGACTGAGACCATGGGTGGGAGAAATGTCAGCAACGGCACCAATCATTGAATATGCTGAGAACATCCATGAGTCACTTCAACCAGACCTTTGTGAAGCTATAGAAACTGGAATTAGGAACTCATACATGCAAGGTAAAAGAGCCATTTCAACACTTATTTTAAATGTATTAGACTTGGGTTTTTTTTTAACGTTATAAAGAACGTTCATAGGGAATTCTTAGTAATAAAATATGTGTGTGCATTAAGCAGATATAGCAATGTTGTCCAGAACCTGAACTCTGTATCCTTAGCAATTTTATGAAGGAGGATACACTCAGAGGCTGTACCCTGGGTAAAAGCAGCTTTAGGTTTGTTGAGGTAGTGGAACAAATGTAAACAAGTAGCTAGGGAGAGTCAGTTGAGGGGAAGAGTCATGGTATGCTTGATTCTGGAAGGAGGTGATAAGAGTCCTGGCGACTTACTGAATGTCTTATCTCCTTATTTTCCCGGTTGTAGGTTAATATTCTGAAATTTATTTTTATTTATTTATTAGAGTTATATACCACCCATCTAGAACGTGTCCACATAAAAATAAACTAAGGTAAAATCCAGATTAAACACAGAATCCAAGATGGGAAATGAAGAAAAGAACAAAGAAAAAGAAGAAAGAGAAAAAAAGAAAAGGGGAGATAGACTAGGTAATAGTCTGTAGGGAAGGCCTGCCTGTATCGCCATGTCTTCAAGCTAGTCTTGAAGGCCCTCAGCGAGGGAGCCAGGGAAATCTCAACAGATAAGTTGTACTTCAAGCTAGTCGCCACTGCCAAGAAGGGCTGATTTCCAGTTTTTTCCCACCAGTTTTTTCCCACCATTTGGAACTTCCGCATCAGTCTCAAAGGAAGCCCTATGTAGAGAGCGTTACAATAGTCTATTCCTGAGACTACGAATGCATGGACCAGTGTGGTGAACGCCCCCCGTATCTGCATCTAATAGGGATGCAGCTGGGCAATCTGTCAAAGATGTAAATGGGCAGAGTGAATGACAGACACTATCTGGGTCTCCATGGTAAGCGCCGGTTCAAGATGGACTCCCAGAGTGTGAACCAAATTCTTTGTGGTGAGAGTCACCCCCTCAAAAGAGAGGGAGTTCCCCAAACCACTAACATTGGAGCCACCCACCCACAGGACCTCTGTCTTGTCCAGGTTCAACCTTAGTCCATTCAACTGCATCCATTGCAGAATGGCCTCCAGGCAGCGCCCAAGGGATGGAACGCCATCCACTGCAGACGGAAAAAAGATGTATAGCTGGGTGTCATCAGCATATTGGTAACATGAAGCTCCACATTCCCGGATGACTCCACACACACACCGGCTTCATATAGATGTTAAACAGCATTGGGGAGATGATCAAACCCTGTGGGATCGCACAACTGAGGGACAATGGGGCCGATACATTCTCCCCAAGCTGCACTCTCTGAGGACGGCCCTCCAAGAAGGACTGGAGAGCCAAGCGAGAGCAAGGCCACCAGTCCCCAGCTCAGAGAGCCTCCCCAGGAGGATATCATGGTCAACAGTATCAAAGGTGGCTGAGATATCAAGGAAGACAAGCAAGAACATTTTGCGCATTGGCCTCCCTAAATAGGTTACCCAGCAGGGAAACCAATGCCGTTTCCGTGCTGTGGAAACTATAATTTAGTTTTAAAATAGCTGAGCACAGTATGCATTTCCAGAAACGTGTTAATGAAGAACATGAAGTGTTGTGTCTTTACAATGTTAAAACAAGAACCTTTTGATTTTGGGTTTTATCAGCAGCTTAGAACGCAATAAGCTTTCTGTAGAGATTATTACAGGTAGCAAAGCTTTGGGTAGTGGCGCCTGTACAGTGGACCCTCGACTTACAGACGGCTCGACTTACAGACTTTTCGAGTTACAGACTTCTCTGGCTGCAAAATTTAGATTCGACTTGAAGCTGGAGAATCGACTTACAGACCAGAAAAAACCAAAAATGGAACAAAAATAGAATAAAAACCGCCGGTTATGGGATTAATCGGTTTTCAATGCATTGTAGGTCAATGGAGATTCGACCTACAGACTTTTCGACTTGCAGACACCATTCCAATACGGATTAATTCCGTAAGTAGAGGGTCTACTGTAACTTTGATTAGATTTAAAAGATTCAACAGAAAATTCCAGCATCCTGTAAAAATTGACACAAGCATTGCTAGAAATCTCTTCCCTTAGTCAAGATGGGAACTCCCATCTTAGGGATCAGAAAGCCTGAATGCAAAATATAAACATATGCAAAGGGATATAAATGTAGGTCTGTGCTGCTCTCCTTTATTTCATCTCTCTCTTCCTTACCCAACTGAGTAAGGAACTGAGACAAAATAGATGGGACAAATCCCACAGGATTCTGTGTTCAAATGCCAATGTGTTATTTCTCTTATAGGACCCCTTCTGGGATTCCCACTTCAAGATGTCGTAGTGACAGTGTATGCAGTGACAGCAGGTTCTGATACATCCCCAACAATGATTTCGGCTTGTGTTTCTCGCTGCATGCAAAAGGTATGAGTGAAATAGTACAAATGTCAAGACCATTTGTATTAATAATTTTCCTTTACCCTCTTTGATTCTGTTTGTTGGAAACCTATCACACTTTTGTAGGACACACTGTTGTGGCAGCAGCATCTGCAGATTTTTGGATTGTAATATGGCCATTTAAACTCTGTAGTCAATACAGTGGTGCCCCGCATAACGACGTTAATCCGTTCCGGATTAATCATCGCTACCCGGAAACATCACAATGCGGGAGGGAAAACCCCATAGAAACTTTGTTTAATGCAGTCCTATGGGGCGAAAACTCACAGTTATGCGAAGATCCTTCATAGCGCCGCCATTTTCGCCGCCTCGGTAAGCGAGGGCAGCGCACGAAAATGGTTGCGGCGGCCATTTTGGAACCGCTGATCAGCTGTGTGAAAATGGGGCCTTTGGGAAGACCGCGGGGGAGGGCTCCCCCGCGGTCCTCCCAGAGCCCCCATTTTCACACAGCCGGCCGAAGCGCTTCGGAACGACGGCAGGGGAGCCCTCCCCTGTGGCCGCTCCGAAGCGCCCGCTGCGAAAATGCTGTGAAAACACACACACACACCACAGAAACATAACCCCCCCAGTCCAAACCCACCCTCCAAACCCCACACAGAAAAGTTTTTTAAAAAGGACTTACCGGTGCAAAGCCGGGGGCCCGGCCTGCTTTAGCCTCCCGGCCCTCCGCTGGTTCCGCGCAGCCGGGGGTGACCGGCCAGGTGCCTGGCCTGCTCTAACCTCCCGGCCCTCTGCTGTTTCCGCGTGGCCGGGGGTGAGCGGCCAAGGGCCCGGCCTGCTCTAGCCGCCCGGCGCTCCACTGCCTTTGGAGCTTTCAAAGGGCTTCCTCCAATGTCAGGGAAAGCCCTTTGAAACCTCTGAAGGCACCGACAATGTTTTTGAACATTATCAATAGGACAGATATCTGAGGATTTTGAAAGATTTTTCTCTCTCAAAAATCTACACAGGAGCAGGATGGGATGGCGTAGACTCAGAAGGGAACAAATCTGAAGTTGCTTACGTTAGGAATGGATGCAAATAGCTTTTTTTCTGGTCTGCTTCACTTTTTCAATCTGTTATGAAAATTCTCATCCTATTTCTGCATTAACCTGTATTTTTCCACACTCAGGAGGAAATTCTCGTTTAAATATGCTTTGAAATAGTCATTTGAAAAGTTATTTTGTGATAGAAATACATACGTAAACTTATTTGACAGTCGCTCCCCCCCCCCTCCAGCGTGGGGCTTGCTTCTTGTTTGGAAAAGCAAGTCACGTGGCCAGAAGGAAATCGACTCCTTCCTTGCAACAGATGGAGAGTCCGCTTCGCGCTGGGCTGAGTGGAAGGAGGGAGCTGATTCCTCCCTGGCCGGCCCTCCCCCGCGGCCGCCCTGAAGCGCCCGCCGCAAAAATGCAAACGCTTTTGCGATAGTAAAAAACAAATTGATATGCGGATTCGTCGTTAAACGGGGCGCTCGTTATGTGAGGTACCACTGTATTATTTTTTTTCTTTACTATAGGTGATAGTCTAGCTTTTAGTTTAGTTCACAGTGAAAAATTATTCTCTTTTTCATGCACACAAAAAGCAAAATTCTAAGTACAAGCTGATTTAGGAGTCTGTTAATTCTGTTGTTGTTTGCCCTGAACAAAAGTCTGTGGCTTTAAAAAGGTTGAAATGCTGTTTCTTAGGCTTTGAAGAAGGCTGATAAACAATTGTTGGAGCCTCTGATGAACTTGGAAATAACCGTGGGTGAAGCGCACCTTGGTGTAACACTTGCAGACCTCGCACAGAGACGAGGGAATGTTCAGGAAATTCAGAGCCGCCAGGACAATAAAGTTGTGATTGCATCGGTTCCACTAGCAGAAATGATGGTATGTACTTAGGGTGCTATAATATGGGTATCTTGTTCTGTACTCTGGTATTTCACAGCCCACCTAAGCAGAGTACAGTGTAGTTACACTACAGATAAGTACATTAATCTACCATAGCTTTCTTTAAGTTTATGAAATGTGGAACTATTCTTTTTCAGTATGCTGATTATTAAGGAGTAGTGATTTTCAGCTGGCTGGATAGCTAAAGAGTTTTGCCTACTTTTGAAATCCCTTTATAAAACATGGGAGGTGAGCACCTTTGGACATCTGGGAAGCTTTTCTTCATCTACCTAGAAGTTTCCTTAGGAAGCACTCTCTATGTCTCCTAAAGGCAGGGTGTGATTAGGCTTCTTTACAATCTGCAACAGTAGCACCAGTAGTCTTCTTAGACAGAGGGTTCATTTGTGACCGCCATCCTGTTTCAGCAGCAACTAACAAACCCAGGTCCTTCCAGAGAGCCAAAACAGCGTATTTATCTTGGTCTTCTCCCAGTTGAGCTATATTTAGGTGTCTCTCGGGGAGCACTCCTAGAATGCAGAATTACAGGGTCTGTCACCCAAAAATTCTGAATGGTAGAACACTTGCAGTCTGTCCCACTGATCTGCCTGTGGGCTTATTGTGTCCTTCCCACAGCTCTACCCAGAATGGTTAATGGGGAAGAATGCCAGAGTTGCATTCCAGTAACGTCTGGAAGGCCACACTATGACCAGCCCACCAAAGACTGCCTTATACGTGATGCATTTGTTTTGCCACTGTTTCTTATACTTTTCTTGCCTTTTGAAATAATTCATAGTAACTAGCCTGAAATTAAAGTTGTGTAATTTAATATAGTTTTTCTTGTGATAAATTACTAATGTGTGTGTTGGTTTCTTGCTAGGGCTATTCAACAACTTTGCGATCTCTGACTTCAGGCAGTGCTACTTTTACATTGGAATTGGCAAGCTATCAAGCAATGAACCCTAACGAGCAAAACATGCTGCTTAAGAAGACTGGTTTAGTATAATATCATAGATGAACAAGGACTTGCTTTAGTCTGTTATGTGCTGATTTAGCTCCATCTACAGTCATGTGTTCAAATGGTACTATTTTAAGATGTGCTTACTTGCATCTTGTGAAATAATTGCCAGTTCCAACAATGCCAGGTCCAGAGTTGTTTCATAACTGGTACTGATTATTTTGTTATAAAAAGAAAGTTAGAAATAGGTTTTTTTGACTCACCCATTTTTTTTCATTTGCCTCTGTCAATCTATTACAGTGGTGCCCCACATAACGACAATAATCCGTTCTGGATAAATTGTCGCTATCCGGAATCGGCGCGATCCGAAAAGAAAACCCCATAGGAACGCATTGAAACCCCTTCAATGCGTTCCTATGGGGGATAAACTCACTGCTATGCGGAAATCCTCCATTTGGCCGCCATTTTCGCCGCCTTGGTAAGCGAGGAAACTGTGCAAAAACACTGCGGGCAGCCATTTTTTCTTCCGGCGGCCATTTTGGAACCGCCGATCAACTGTTGGGGAAACATCGCAATGCGAAAATCGGTAAGCGAAACGCTTACTGATCATCGCAATGCAATGTTTTGGCATTCAGAACATCGCAATGCGATCGCTTTTGCAATTGCAAAATCCGCATCGCTATGCGGATTCGTCGTTAAATGGGGCGCTCATTATGTGAGGCACCACTGTATTTAATGTAAGTTGTGGCATTCCTATGTACGATCTTTCCTGTTCTCTCTGTCATACTATGGCACACAAGTTAGGGAGAGGCATACAGAACCTCTTTCAGCCCAAGTGCTGAACTCAGGTTCAGATAACATTTTGGAGGCTGCTAACCATTGGACCAAGGGATAAAAGGGGTGAGACCAAAAATACCAATATATTTAAGCATAAAACTTTTACTGCCCGTAACTAAGTTTTAGGAGAAACATTTCAAACTTTTAGAATGGGGAAACATCATTAAAAAATTCAGAAAGGCACTTTGAGACCAGGAAAAACTATTTTTAGATGCAAGATCTCAGGTTTGTCTTGGACAGTGTTTGAGGGGTCCAATAAAATGCTGTGTGTAATCTGTCCTATTTAAGGAATAAATGTGTTTCTACTGAAAGGAAGATCAAGACAGGGATATTCCATGTCACAGTTTTTCAGAATGTACTACTGTGCAGCTTGTTGACACATTAATCTCAATCATGTTAAAAAGCACAGTTGGTTTTAATTTATCTACAAATCCAGTAACATTGATCTTGAAACATCTAGAAAGAGAAAAAGATGCTAACATAGAATTCCAACTTTTAAAAATTAGGTTTCTTCAGTGCAAATATTCAACCGGGAACATGGAGGCTTCCTCCCAGAAAGGCACTGTGGGTGTCAGTCCTATGTTCCAACTGCTATGTTCTGTCTCCTGTTTCATTGCTGCAGTATCCAACAAACAAAGGTTCTGCTGCTACTCCACGCCTGTAGGAGACAGAAGAAGGTGCATCTCATCTCTTGATACTGAATTTGCATACCAGCCAGTGATAGTTAAGTTTAGGAAAGTGCTTAATTTGAAAGGTTTTGTTCCTGGACCTCTGGCTTCAATGTAGCAGAGAAAACATTTAGGCAAGCAATATATTACAAGGCTAATAAATTTAAGTTTCGCATTGGCACATGCCTCCCCTCAGAGATCTTACGCTGTAATTGCCCAGAAGTCACTTCTTACTGAGGGCAGCAAGTCAGAGATGTGGTTGGTTTTTGTTTTTTAAAACATTTCTGTATCTCCCATCAACAAAAGGTTCAGGAGCATCAGGAACCAGGGAGAGGCATTCAGTAGCCAAGCTCCACAAGAACTTTTGTCTTGCAGTCACCCAGAGAAATGTCTCTGAAAAGTTCTCTTAGGTGCATGTATACCACTGCAGTAGCTATAGTAAAATATCTTTGCTGATAATTAATTCTTAAAGTTAGCCCTTTCATAGATCTCAGTGCTCTGAGTTGAATAATATATAATGGCTAACCAGATGAATAAGCCAAAGACTCCTCAACCATTAAGTAGCATTCAGACTACAATATTCTAAACTCAGGTCAGCCTTAAATCACACCATGTGGAGATTGCTGGTAGAGGAACCAATCCTTTGTACTCTTAACGTCTCAGTTTCTGGCAATAATCTCATTCAATGCTTGAGTGTTTGCCAAATGAGCTGGGTAGCAGTGTACTTTAACTCTTCAGGCAACTGATGAGTTCATATGTGTGAAATCACAACAGGTGACAGGAATGGAACCAATTTCCTATAAGGAAAAATACTCCTTATATTGAGCAGGTCCCTCAAATGAAAAAAAAAAACCCCAAAAAAACCCAAAATGCGTCCCCTGAAATTGCTTTTACAGTGAAAGAAGGGACTAATTTAACCAACTTGACCAGTACAGAATTCTACAAATCAGACTAGGAAGAGCAGTATAACAAAATGCTGAAAAACAAATTATTTCTAGCTGCGCTGCCATCAGGGAAAGTGTGAAAAGAGATCTTTTCTTGATCTCTGAAACCAAAAAGTTTCTAAATGCCTTCTTAAAACACATGAGGCCAAGTGCAGACTGCTTTATCTGAATAGTAGCAAGCTTATTTAAGATCAGAACAACTACAAGCAGGGGTACAAGAAATTTGCAGAGCATCTGTATACTGTATTATTTGTGGTTCAGAAATTTGGCTGTTGAGACTTATTCCAAATATGCTATCAGATTGCAGCCCAATGTTACACAACTTCTTACCTGAGCATACGACAGCGATGTTCAGTAAGTCTGTTATAAGCATCTGCAATGTCAGTTACATTTTTACTGCTCCACAACCTCTCACCAACAGCACTGGCACGAGGCCTAAAGAAGAATTGAGCATTGAATTGCATTTTATAAAGAACCAATTTGCTCTTATCTGTTTAAACCTGGTTGAATTTGGTTAAAAGCCTCAATGTAATAAAGTCTGTACAGAATGTCTTAGAATTGAATCCATGGTTTTTATCCAATACATGAGTTAAAGCTTGCTTATCTATGAACTGGGCTGTGGAGATGGATCTCAGCTCTCCCCGCACACACAGTGGGTGTGTCGTGCTTGCGCAGGGAGCATGTCGCGCTCACACAGGGGTGTCATGCTCGTGCAGGTGGTGTGTTGCACTCATGAGCAAGTGCACAAGTGCGACACCTCCCCATGCATGGAGCCCACCCCCCCAACAGGTCTGCAGTCCCAAAAAGGTTGGGGACTGCTGTTCTAGAGAGTTGTGCGCATGGACATCTTTTTTAAAAAGTTACATTGTATAAGTACAGAAATCCTAAATTTCACAATTGCTTCTTTAAGCATATGTAATTTTTATAGCACAAAACATCTACCCTGTTTCCCTGAAAATAAGACAGGTTCTTATATAAATTTTTGCTCCAAAAAAAAATTGGGGATTTTTTTTCATGTACAGTGGTGCTCCGCATAGCGACGATAATCCATGCAGCAAAAATCGTCGCTATACGGATTTGTCGCTATGCGAAAATAAAAAGCCCATAGGAATGCATTAAAACCCGTTTAATGCGTTCCTATGGGCAAAAAACTCACCTTTACGCGGAAATCCTCCATACAGCCACTATTTTCGCTGCCCGGTAAGGCCACCATTTTCGCTGCCCGGTAAGTGAGGAATCGGCACTAAAACACAGCGGGCGGCCATTTTTTTTCCTGGCGGCCATTTTGGAACCACCGATCAGGTGTTGGGAAATCATTGTTATGCGAAAATCGGTAAGCGAGACAGCTTACTGATCATCACAAAGCAATTTTTCCCATTAGAAACATTGCAATGCGATCACAAAAACAATTGCAAAAAATTCATTGCTATGCAGATTCGTCAAACGGGGCGCCCGTTAAGCGAGGCACCACTGTACAACAATGTACATTCATTGAAATACAGTCATGTCATCTTCTTCTGGTTGCTGCACAATGATGGAGGGCGGGGTTTCACTTAACTGGGACTTATTTTTGGACTAAGGCTTATATAACAAGCATCCTGAAAAATCATACTAGGGCTTATTTTCAGTTGAGGTCTTATTTTAGGGGAACAGGGCATGTGCTATATGCTCACGAGTTTTTTTTACACTTTACACTTAGGCAGTACAAAGATTTTTAGTTGCTTACATATGCTGTAAGTTAAATTATTTTCCAAACAGCCAATTTTTTTCAGCTATAGAAGGATATATTTATTGATTTGATTTATATCCTGCCCATCTGGTCTGGTCGACCACAGTTGTTTCAGTGCACATATGAAATACTGCTATAATGTGAGAGCATTATTCTATCTGTTGAAGGCAAACAGGAATAATGTCTGGAATTTCTTGTGTGAGGCTGTCTCAGTGCTGGAGGCAATTTCAGGTGGCTGCAGTTCTGTGCTTTTACCCTCAAGCCTGAAAAAAGCCCACTTTCTCACTTCACGAGGACTTCTTTCTTTGCAAATAGGTAGGTAAGCTCTAAAGCAGTTTTCAATAGAATATACCAGATGGGCGGGATATAAATTGAATAAATAAATAAATAAACTCTGATTTAAGATTTTCTGATGAGTTAAAAATCAGACAGCCTCATTAATACAATTAGGTCGGGGTGGGGAATCAAGCGGTGAGCTATACCAGAGTCTTGGTGTGAGATTAGTTGCATCCACATATTCTCCCCAAAGACAGGCTTCTCCACCAACCACGAGTTCTTTCTGTGCTCTGCAACCTGTGTTTAAGGAAGTGAAAATGATCATTTCATCATTTAAATATAGTCTTACACTATATAATAAATAAATAAATAATAATTACACTGATAAACAAGGTTACTGGGTCATGACTAATTTGAAGATGTCAACTGATGTGAGTTGCAAACTGTTGTTTGATTATTATTCTGGTTCAGGTGAACAATGCAAGAAGTCAAGGTGACCAAGAATCAGGGCTAATGTTTCTTATTACAGTTTGTCTTTTATTACCTGGAATCAGAAAAAAATGAAACTACTTCAACTGCAACAGAACTTAAAAAGTAAATTGTTTTCTGTGACCGGTCTCCCTTCAAGAGCAGCTTGTCTTGCCTGATTAAGGCAGACTAGAATGCTAATGCTGGAGAATTAATTTGTGTGAAAGGAGAGACTGGATGAGTAAACACAAATGCACAAATGAGTAAACACAAGGTTTCAATCTATTTATGGCAGTTTAAAACCAGAGTTGCAAGAACACACAATTCTCCCATAAGATGTAATGGGACATAAATATGCCTACTTTAAATTGCCTCAAACCCACAGAAAAAGACAGCTGCAAGTTTTCAACACACCAAGGAAATCCAGCGGTTCGACGCTATAGTATTTCTTCCAGTCCTGGCCATAACTAATGTAGTCTAGGTACCAGGGTGCTGCTAAGATTGCAGGATGCCCTTCTTTTGTTACTCTTCTCAGTTCTTCTTTATACAGAGTTCCCATCCACACTTCAACTATAGTGTCTGGCTGCAGCTGAAAAGATAGTAGCACAGGTTATTCGCATGCAGTCAAACCACCCTTGCACAAGTGCAGTATCTCAAGCACATCATAGAGTTCAAGGCAACCCTATTTCCATCCCTAAATACTCCAAGAGAAGACTAAGGTGTTACAAGGACGTGACCTTGTGCACTTTCAGTCTCTCCATCTAACTGTCCCTCCCTGCACAATATGAATTTAGCAAGCTCTGGCAGGCAAGTAACCATGTTAAAAGGGAAGGCAGACGGTGATATTGGAGATTAACAGTGTCCTCCAATTCACTATAATCTGCATGCATGCTGGAGTTGAGATCACTGTGACTGTTAAGTCCTATGGGGATTCTTCAACAGACTGATGTTAACACTCACTCTAGCAGGGGGTTAACTAATTGTATCTATAACCTATTTTGCAACTAACACAGACACAAAAAGTTTGGATAGATTCAACTGCATAAGCTAATTATCATTCCCTCTATTAATGATGTAACACTATCATTCTTCTATTACTCATATTTATGGATGAGTACAGGAACTCCTGTAAAGAAGAGAATGGCAAGTACTAAAAATATTAAAAACATCAAAAATAAAATAAGTAAACATGTGTATGAAGGACATATTAGATGAGATTCTACTGCTGATATGTGCTGGCACAAAGGCAGTGATGTAAATTGCAGCAGCAATTGGCTCCTACTAGGCATCCTTCAGTCTCGAGAGACTATGGTTACATGCTCTGAATAGCAGTCTTGGAACAGTGTCTAGTGTGGCTGAAAAGGCCAATTCAAGAGCAACAATCCCTTCCACACTGAAGACAAATACAGTCTGTCCCCTGTTCAGCTCCCTGATTTTGCTGGTTTCAGGACTGCCTCTTTGCCATGGCCTGCTGAACAAGTGGCTGAACGCTCAGATGTCAAAATTTCCCATCTATTGAGGTCCATGGCATATACCAAGATCCAGGTATACAGAGCTTGTGTCCTGAGTACACTCCTGTACTGCAATTGGCTAGTTACCGTAATCTTTATATTCCTTGTTGCATGCCAGTCCCTTGGTAAGTGATAAGGAATATGAGCAATGAGTCCTTGATTAGTTGCTATTTCCCATTGTGATTTATGATGTTAACACTTCTGCTGGCATTCATAAGCAATAAGATTCGGGACATTCACAACTCTGAATTTTTATAACCTGTTGGATCCAGCCCACCTACTGTGCCCTAAGTCCCTTCAGCCTCCTAAAAATGTTATACAGTAAATCAGGGGACTGACTTTTGCAGAATGCAGTGAGGTGTACCATTAAGTGAGTGGGAGATCCCCAAACAATCTTCAGGGAGCAGACTACTATCAAAGAAGGCTAGTCCTGCTTTTGAACAATTAATTGAAATGCATGAAACTTCTCTTCTCATCGAGGTTGTTCCATTCATGTCACCAGAAGGGGAGGATTTTCTCCTTTCCTCTATGCATTCTAAAGCATCTCTAGATTTTTCCTTTAGACCAAATCTAGTAGGGGCTGCACTAAGGAGGAGAAAGGAAAAGTACTGCAACGTTGGAACTCACTGTCTTTATTTCAGGATCTGCTGCCCAAATGATAACAAGATTTATCCAGCTGTAATTTCAGTAAAGACTAAATCAGGTGACAGCTTTTAAAAATGATGTGAAAGGCCTTTATGGCCTTTTCCACATATTGGGTACTTTGGAAACATTCAAAACAGCTATGCTATAACTCAGATTTTGCAAAAGAGGCAGATTTTATTTTTCACACTGCCTTGGTACTAATTATTCCATACAGTTTTGGAAAAGTTTAAATACATAAATAGATCCACAACAGTTTTGTCAAAAGAAAAAGACAAGTTATTGCAAAATAGAGCAGATAATCTTTTGGCACTTACCTGAACCCCATTATCAAAGACCTCTTGCCAGACTATGGATTTCTTGTTAACAGAAGATACCATATCCAATATCCTAGGACAAAGGGACCGGTGAAAAAACTGTGATACATTTTTCACTTATTTATTACATTCATGCCCTATGTAAGGAAAGACAGGGGAAACAAACAGCTTCCAATAATTATGCTGCTTCTTGTCAAAAAATTTAAGAAAGCAGGGCAAAAATATTAATTGATCTGTATAACTTATTTTTCTTGTTCAGGCCAACAGAGACAAGACAATCAATTCAACTAGCTGAAATTAACCAAGATTTTGTTTATGCTGACTGTAAATAAAATATGCTCTTTTGTAGTCCTGAAATGATGTGACAGTTGAGAAGCTTCAGGTCACACATTCTCTCAACCCACCAAAATGTCTGGCAATAGTAGATATTTGAGGGGGATAAGACGGCAAGCAGAGGAAATGGCAAGAATAAAGTAAGTGTTCCCGCTTGGATGACCAAGAAACTCACTTCTCAATATAATAGGATTCCAGTTTTGTATAACTATGTGAAAATCCTCGCTCCTTCATGAATTCTGACACATCAGGATTGGACCTCCTGTAAAGAGAAAGAAAAGTTCTTGAAAACACATTCCACATCATGGAGAAATACAAATGGGATGTACCGGGACAGCTGTACTGGAAAAGACTATACAACTCCCACACCTAAGAATCTTCCGATGTGTTTTCATAGAGAGTTTAGAGGCCTCAGGGAACCCTTGATAAGTAGCTGTTGAAGATAAGTATTTGAGGAGGAGGCTAAATAACTAACTTATTGTAATACAATGCAAAGGCTTACAGGAGTTTCAAGCAAAGTATGGATTGTCAGAACTACAGTATCTCTTTTTGTCACACTTTCCTATTAGATAGATTTCAGATTTAATAGCAACTGTACCAACAAGTGAAGTCCACCTCATCTCCTCCTAAGTGGATGTATTCATCAGGAAATACTGTCCTGATTTCTTTCAATAACTGAAGCATGAAATCATAAGTTGTATTCAGAATGGGGTTTACTGGTCCATAAGAGCCGCTGGGATGTTCTCCATTGTAGCATGGTGTGAGGAAATCTTTTTGCCCTTAAATAAAACACATACACTATCTTCAGAAGATGCATGCTTATCACTGAATGCCATATACACTTGGGTGGCTTATGATCATTTCAAAAATAATGCCACAAATTTAAATACAAATACATTTTTCACATGACATGGTCAAGAATACAAAACAATGTTTCCCCAGCTCTTTCAAGGTTGAACTTTACGCAGTGAATACAATTTCTGTGAAATAAGAGATCAGGAAACATGTGACTCACAGGAGCTTTGCATTTATTTGACACTGTTAGTCATATTATTCCAGAGACTGTTTCTGTTCTGCATTCAAGGCTACTGAAGATTTGTTTTCATTTCCTGAGTCACCTAAAAATTAATCAATGGTGTTGGTAGAAGTCTATCATAGCAACCATATCTGATCATTCATCCATCCATTTAATCAGTATTGTTCCCAATACTGGCTCCCTTGAATTTCAGACAGGAAAATAAGAGTACTGTTTTGCTAGCTAATAAAATTTATCATGAAGCAAAAGGGAAAAAAGATACAGTAAGACACAGTAAATGGGTATAGAGTTATACAACTTATTTCAAGGCTGAAGTCAATGCTTTGTCAGAGTGATGTTTACAGCTCAAAGCAAACAAAAACAAATCAAACGAATTATACGAAGTGTGTAAAGAATTGTATACTAAGGAATTAAACAGCTTTGGGTACTAAAATCTGTAACTTTTCTTTCTTGCTTTGTATTGACTGAGTTCCAAAAGGGCTTTTTCAGTATCCACAGCCTTTCTGAACCATATGCATCTCACCTTTTCCCCAAGACTCTGTGTGCCCTGGGGTATCAAACTCTGGGATGACTCTAATTCCTCGTAACCGAGCATAGTCGATCACTAAACGGACATCAGTGGGAGTGTAAACATGGTTGTATGAATAGGCCCCCTGAAAAAAAATATCCACATAGCAATTATTTCACATTATGCTACAAAATTTTCAGTAAGTGTAAAAAGCAGATTTTAAACTTGACATTACCTCCCCAAAGGACTGTAATGCATATTAGTTGTCCCTTCAAAAGTTTTAGTGCATAAAATATTTTATTGATCATCAAAACAGCCTTATGAAGTAATTTTGCCTCAGAGAGGTACGATCTATCCAAAAATTATACTTCTCTGAAGACCTATAACTCTAACAAAAAATAACTCCAAAGCCTGTTCATTGTTCTTGTGGGTCAAAATATATAAATAATGTCTTGCATTTGGTTTCATAGGTGCCCACTAGTCCATGACTAAAGTATATATCTATGCCCAGCCTAGCAGGGATAAACCTTGGCATTTCCCCTGGGGCCTGGGCCTCATTTTAAAAGTTAAGAACATAAGAGGAACCCTCCTAAGTCAGAATCATAGATCAGTAAACCGGGAAGGGACTCCAGGGTCATCTAGCCCAGCACCACTAAAACAACCCTGACAGGTGACTATCTCAAACTAAAGGTCTGCCTAGTCCATCATTTTGTTTCCCACCATGGCCCAACAGCTCATTTTAAATAATCCAGGTAACAGCAATTAAATACGGTAGCCAAGATAGAACTCTTGATTTATTCCCCTATTTTATTTGCTTCGCAGTCAGCTTTTATACACTACACTTGATGCAGGTTCTAATTCTTGTTCCAGCTTTACACAATACCTTTCTTTTCTCTCAATGTTGAAATAACACTTAGGCCATGTCAGTTTGAACTTTATTTGAAAAGGCAAAATTGCAAGTTTCTTACCATCCTAAATGTCTAAGAACAATGTTTGCACCTTAAGTCACATTATATGTTTCAACAGGCTGCAATCTATAATCAGTCAAAGCACCTCAGTCATCTTAAAATTTTCACAGAAAGCCAAAAGAGACAAAAGCTCAAATCAGTGCCATGTGGTTTTCCCTGTTTTTTTTTTCTGATGTTGCCACTTTTTTCTTATATTTTAATTCTTTACTGATACGTCTATCTCATGCAATATGAATAAATAATAAACATCTAAGGTTCAATACCAAACATACATTAAAGCATACATACTTAAATGAATCAGTTTTCAAACATCACATGCTTCCTTGATATTAAATAACAATTCCATTTTTTAAAATCAGTTTTGTCCCAATTTTTTATTATCAGTTTTCCCCCACTTTACACTCCACGTATATTTCCCTATGAGTTAAATGGAAATAATCTTATTAATCACTTGTTTTGTTGCAATATGTTTTCTAGAGAACCACTGCTAATAGTACTCATTTACCAGCAGGAGGCCTTGGCCGTACTCTGAGCTCTCATTCACCTGCAACAGACCAGTCTCTGTTGTTTTGCTTCAACAGATATTCCTCCAAAAGTTGTTAACAATGCCATTCCATTAGTCTTTTAAACAGTTATTTACTTTTTAAAAATTCATTTCCCCTGAAACCTTTTTATAAAAAGAATTTTAAAGTAGAGATTTTCAGAAGATTCCAAATGACATTTACTTACTTGGGCACTCAGTTCAGGAAAAGTGATGCTCTGATAAGGAAAAGACTGGTCATCTACTATGTGCCAATGGAAGACATTAAATTTGTTAAAAGCCATGGCATCCTACGATATGGAAAGGAAAATAGTATTTTAGGAAGGCACTCTGCAATCTGAAGTTGTTAAACAGGGATTTGTATCCATTTCAAAACTCATGTTCTGTTATGCTTTCACCCATAAAGCAAAGCAACCTCAACACTTCTCCAATCTCCACAATATTCTAGATACTGAAAGACTTTTGGTAACATACCCAATCTAAACTACATTCTATAACGTGGAATACGTTTTCCCCCTAATAAGTGTCATCAGCTGCTCTTATTTCCCAGTAACATTGCTTTATTCCTTTAAAGCAGCCAGATCTGGAAACAATACAGATGCCAGAGCAATCATAAATTGGACGACATTTATTTGAGGTATAATAAGCTGTTCCTTGAATGTAAGCATCCTAGTATCTTCTCATGGAGAACCACATTATGGAGCAAGAAAAGAAGAGACTGTTTACGTGATGGGAGCATGACAATGGAGTACACCTTCACCCCCATGAACACTGATCCTGATATTACAAACATTTTGGCACCAGGTCAAAACATTTTTATTTACACAGTCAGTTTATACTGGTTATGTGCACTATTTTACTGCTGCCTCTTTTTTAATTAGGGCCTCTTGTTTTATTAGTAAGATTTCAAAACAATGCATTTGTACATGGCATGATTAATTCTATTCATGCCTCTTTGTATCCTGCTTTAGAAATACTTATTTAGGTACTGTACATATCTCTGAGTAAACATATTCCCTATGTGAAAAAGAAGGAGCAGTAGATTCAACATGCTCTAGTTAACAATCATCTATCAATACTGGAGGACACAGCCATTTATGACTGATATATCATATAAACAGCATCACTCCTGTTTTCAATAAGCAAATAGGAAATCACAGTTTAAACTGTCACAGCAGCCTCTGCAGAAGATGGGTGCAAAGAGTGGTGGAGAACCTGGCTCAGCTTTCAGCTTACCAAATTGATTAGGATACTTTTCAATGGCAAAAAATGCCTTGATGTGTCAAGCAAGATCCCTCGATGAGCAAATCTTGGAGAATCACTAATGTCAGATTCATTGATGAAGAACTATTAAAATAACGGAGAGAAAAAAGAGTTCAACAAATGGCAAGGTTTAACTTTGTTGGTAAGACAGCAAAACATACAAATGAAAAATACACCTGGTTTTATCCAAACAAAAAAGGAAGTACAGATTAAATTCAACTCAGATTTATATAAAATTCCAAGAGAGTCCATCACCCATAGTCAAAGTAAAGAACCACCTTGTAAGAAAGTTTTTCTTCAAAGTGGGTGTTCTGGATTTTTCGGGCTCTTTGGCCGTGTTCTTGGCTTGGGAGTGCTGCACTCCCAAGCCAACTACACCAGAGCACAGGTTGCTGTCCTCTGAAGCTGCCGGCCACAGAGACTGGTCAAACGTCAGGAAGAACAACCTTCAGAACACGGCCAAAGAGCCCGAAAAACCCAGAACAACCATTAGATCCCGGCCGTGAAAGCCTTTGTGAATATATTTTTCTTCAAAGATTTAAAAAAATCTTCCATCGGCTTCCACAGGAAAGAAATTGGTTTAAAAGGGATTAACAAAACAAAGTACTGCCAGTGTACTTCCAAATTTCAGTTGAAACTTCAAAAGGTTTTGGACCATTTCTAGAAAACATTCTGGCCCAAGCAGAAAATAATTCACTAATGGAAGAGCAGTCAGTGAGAATGAGGCTCTCTGTTTGGTTGCTACATAGGAAGATCTTGAGTGACCTTAGATGAAGCTTATGAACAGAGGTAGCTTTAAAGTACCTGATGCCAAACTCCAGAGACCATACCAACATCAAACATCAGTGAAATGAACAATCAAAATCCTTTTCCCAGAATCTTAAAACAAAGTTGACTAGACAAGTACTTTTGGAAAATAAAGAGAAATGAACAAGTTAATGTATGTTCCTGGAAATGTAGCTAAATCTCCAGGAGACACACCATTTTTTAGACCAGGACAGGCATTCAGAAAAACAGGGAGTGTGGCCCGGCCTAAATACTAGTAGAGCCAAACTCACATTCAAGCTAGCATCTTGCCTTGAGGAATATACAGTGGGGTCTTGACTTAAGAACGGCTTGAGTTAAGAACATTTTGACTTAAGAACCACTCTCATAGGAAAATATTGACTTGACTTACATACTTAGATTTGAGTTAAGAACTGAAAAAAAACACGTGGGAGGCAGGGAAAGTGCAAAATTTGAACTTTCAGTTAACTGTTGGCCAGTGAAAAGGGTGCCTGTCTGCTTCCTCACTCCTCCCAGCGGTTAGAGAGTGGATTGGGAGACAGTCTTCAGACTGCCTGGTACTGCCTGGACTGTATTTTCCCTGCCTTCCCTGAACCTTTCTTGACCTAAGAAAAAAAGAAACAAAATATCCCCCGCTAGTGGTCGAAGGCAGAATAGCAGCTTCCCATTAGTTTCTATGGACGGAAAAGAGCCGATACGGATCAAATGGTTTTCAATGCATTCCTATGGGAAATGCAGATTTGACCTGAGAACTTTTTGACTTGAGAACCGCCTTCCAATATGGATTAAGTTCTCAAGTCAAGACCCCACTGTATTTATTCATGGCACTAGTTCAAATTTAAGCTCCCTCCAAACTTCTTTTACTGAGCATTTTACTAGAAGGTGCTCCATTTTCTGAAGCCTCTAGTAAGAAAAGAAGCTTCAGTAGAGGCATACTATGCCTTTTAACCAAGAAGCTGACAAAGAACCAGGAAAACCTCACACTAGAAACCACATTATATGGCCAATATCCTTTTGCATTATGTGATCACAAAAGAGCGATGTGTTGCATGATTGTTGATGAAAGAATGTTCTGCCAGAGTGAATGAAAGCTCATGTGATTTTTACTTATGTTCCATACAGTATACTAGCCTATGGTCTTATATGTGGCCGCAATGTTACCATAGTCTCTCGAGACTGAAGGATGCCCATGATGATGAATGAGAAATTTAGCTAGGATCCCCAGTCAAAGCTGACCACTACGTTAGCGTGGGAAAGCTATAAGACGTAAGTGCAGATATTGAAGTGCTGCTTTAACCTCCTTCTGATTGGCAATGCCCTGCTACACTGCAGCATCACAGCAACCTCACAGGACAGAATAGTCACACCTGAAAGCATTAATAACAGTTACTATGCCCAAAACCGAGTAAAAGTCCAAATTATTAGCTGTAGTCCACTGTACCATGAAGAATACTCACACTTCCATAGTCATCTTCATTTACTAATTGGCTGAATGTTTCTAAACCTAGAAGTCAAGCACATTAGATTATCAATCATAATTATTGAAGTAACACTTTGATATTCCAAGGAAGTGGTAAACATGGAAGCACAGATAACATATGTCCCTTGCTCTTAAACTTCCAGGTCTCATCCAAGGAGAGGGGACATGGAATCCAAACAGTACATATTTGCTCTCTTTGTGATGGCACATAACCCACATGTTCTCTCAAGGAAAAGTGTGCCCTTCTCTTCTTTGGCTGAGACCTGGAAACATGGGATGAGAAAGCATAAGTCACTCATGCTTCCTCTTTCACCATATCCTCTAAATATCTGAAGAGGATGAAGAAACGAACAAACCAGTCATAAATACAGTGCCTAATTTTAATAATAACCAAATGACATTTTTAAGTTTTTCTTTCCCTCTAGATAGCATTTTTTCTTCACACTGAACACAAACAAGTTATGCCAATCTTCCTTCAGTCACTGAAGTACCCACATAAAACCCACGGTTCTATCTTATTCACACATTAAATAAACATGCATCTTCTAAGATCCAAATATGAACTGCTGGGAATAAATGAGGGTTGGGGAATCCTGCTGCCTTCATGCTCCACTGCAGACTTCCTAGAGTATCAGGATGGCTATTATGAACAACAGGAGACCAGATACTTGGTCTTAATTGGCAGAGTATTTCTTATTTTATGGCTTACCTCTTAATGCTCCCCAAACTTTGCTTGCCTTCAGCACAGCTGTAGGTTCTGAAACCTGGAGCTGATCTTTAAGGGAAATTGACATTGTATTATTTCAGTAACAGAAATTACGAAATGATCATTTTGCCTTTCATGTTCTTAATGTTGATGATGTGTGATAAAATACTTCATAAACGTTTATGCTCCATGAAATTTATTTAGTTTTTAAGGTACTGCAACTCTCTTCCTGTTTTTTGAAACAGAAATGTTTTTGGTTTCTACACATACTTTTCCCATATTCTCTCAGAACCAGCTGTTAGGGATCTTATGGGACTGAAGGGTCAAGGAAAGCAAGACTGGGATCCCCTCTAATTCTCCATAACTATTCTTGCCCTTCACTCAAATACATAATAGCAGTACAGGAAAGGGAGGATTAAACAATCCCCCTCCTGCACAACTCCCTTCCCACTGCTCAGCTAGTATGGAAGGAATAAATCAAAGCACTATTATTTTCTTATAAGCACAGGGAGGGACGTGGTGGAAGTGACGTTAGAGGGATGTGGTGGCAGGGGTACATGGTGGTGCTGTGGGCTAAATCGCAAAAGCCTCTGTGCTGCAAGATCAGAAGACCAGCAGTCGTAAGATTGAATCCATGTGCCGGAGTGAGCTCCCGTCATTTGTCCCAGCTCCTGCCAACCTAGCAGTTTGAAAGCACGTAAATGCAAGTAGATAAACAGATAAATGCAAGTAGATAAGTGCAAGTAGATAAATGCAAGTAGATAAATGCCATTACCTTCCCACTGTGGTGGGAAGGTAATGGCATTCCGTGTCTAGTCATGCTGGCCACGTGACCATGGAAACTGTCTATGGACAAACGCTGGCTCTACGGCTTGGAGTTGGGAATGAGCACTGCCCCCTAGAGTTGGACACGACTGGAATAAATATCAAGGGAAACCTTTACTTTTGCCTACAGGGAGTGACTTGTCTGAGCAGGGCTACTCTTCAGAATGGTAGGTCTCATTAGGTCTGCATTTTCAAAGCACCTCCCCCTCCTGGGGCAGAGAAAATCTCCAGAGCCTCTGTGAGCTATATGAAAAGTGGCAGAGGGCCACATGTAACCCAGATGCCACTGGTGGCCCACTCTTCTCTCAACAGACTCATAAGATTTTTCTCTTATTAGGTCTATGTAACTTGTGACCACCCACTTAACAGCTCCTCTGTTTTAGCAATCTAAATAGGTGGCAAAAATCAATAAGGCTAACCTGATATAGCTGCCATAAAAAGCCCATTCTGAATAGTTTCTTAAAATTAGTAACAATGCCCAACAAAAATGCAAGCAGAAGTGTGTTGTTGTTCTAGAGAATATGTCTCTTTTCTTCCCTCATGTTGTAGCAAAACCAACAAATATTCTTGTAGCTTTTCAAAGATTGACCAGTTTTATTTGACACAAACTTTTATGGACTGCAATCCACCTTTCTTCAAATAGAATTCTCACCCTCCATTTCAGCAATGTTCATACATCAGCTTAGGAACTAACATAAAATCAACATTTGTATTCACAATGATCTGAACAGGAAGTTAAATGTTAATCACCCTCTATCTTAGAAAACAGGAAGTATTCAAGGTCATGAAGCCACAGAGGCCTGCATCCTTGAAACTATACTTATCCAATTAAATTAAAAGGACCACACGAAAGCTCTATGTTTAAGCTTCAGAGATGAGTGTGGATCATTAAGTAGTCTAACCAGCGCCATCCATGCAAAAGAGGGTCGGGGAGATCAGCAGGTTATGCAGAAGTACAACTGTTGTATGTAGGCGTGTGGATAACTTGAAGGTGAAAAGCCCAAACAGGCCCAAAGAGGATTAAATATCCTCAGTGGCTGCATAATGTTGCTGGACTATTTGGGAGAAAAAAATGGAACAGCTGGCAAGGGGAATGGAAAGGATTGTCCTTGAGTAGATAACTAGCAAGGCCAACTAACTAAAACATTGACACTGCATGAAACAAAAATAAGGCTCAATCATTACAAAATTTCTCCTGATTATCTGAAACCCATATATCTACTACCATATTTTGCCACTCAAACCCATCTTGTTTACTACATAGAAAATCACCAAAAAATGTGAATCCTATCCATGATATTTTTAACTGAGCCAATTTATTTATTTCAGTAACTCACTCAATAAATTATTAAATAAGGTATAAACTCTTGAATAAGGTGATTATTACAGTCAACTATGTATGATAGGGTTTGGGAAACATTTTAGAATGTGTTGTTGTTGTTTGATTGTTTCCACCCCTGGTCTACCTCTCCCAAAATCCCTCACCCAGCAGCCACATAGTTTGGGAGATTCTTGCCGCAGCACATCAAGAAAGACAAATTTCCAAGCTCCGTAAACAAATATAGGAATGAGGATATCCTCAAAATGCAGTCATGAATCAACACAGTTGGGAAGAAGGTTCCACTAGGCCACATACATCCCCACTGCCAGATACTCACAGGATTCATCTGATTCAACACCCGGATATTTATCACATTCTGAATCCTCAGAAGTTATAATGACTTGAAGCGAGAACAGCTCTGTTTCAGAAAGAGGTTTCTTCTCATCATGATTCTGCCATTTTGAATATCCAAATATATATCCATAATATCTGGAAGCAAAACCAAATGCTTTACTTTATGTCCGATTTCTATCAGCAAATACCAAAGGAAGTTGGTTAAAACATTAGGAAGAACTTTCTGATAGTATAAGCTGTTTAGCAGTGGAACAGATTGCCTAGAAAGGTGGTAGACTCTCTTTTGGTAAAGGTCCTGAAGCACAAATTGAATGACCATCAATGAGGGAAGCTGTAGCAATAGGTTTCCTATCTGGCCCTTGATGAAAGTACCTTTGAATTTAACAATGCTATGATCACAAGCAGGGGAGGCACACATCACAGAACAGCCTCATTTCCATAGGTTCTTCACATTTTCTGTTCTACTTAGAGAAGGTGAGAGGAATGTGCACCAACAAGTTTAACTCTGCATGGCATTCACTCCCAGTTCATGGAGACTACTGTTCAGGCATACTTCTCATCCCATGGACACATTCCTCGCTCTTCCTCATTAGAAAAGCAAGAGGAGTACAGAGGTAAATCCATGAAAAGTTGCCACTTCAAGGCATCCAAACAGGAAGTGCTGAGGGAACTGTTGCCACAGCATTTTTAATTTTGGGAAAGATGAAGGATTCAGGGAGCCAGCTCCCTCAGGAACCAGTGCTTCCAAGTGCTCTTGAAGATTCAACTCAACCCTTGCCTTTGCTGTTGGGGAAGATGTGAGACACTTGGATAACACACAGGTAATCATGTCCTGTCTGTATTCTTAATGCAATGAACTTGTCACTGAACAAACAGGCCTTTTCAGGATGCTTCCTCTCATCTCTCGCAATGCACCATTACTCACATAATATTGGTCACAAGTAGAGATGGGCACAAACCTCAGTTCAGAGATTTGTGCTGGTTCGTACATATGGCACCACAGATGCCGTTCTCTTCCTCTGCCTCCCTGGCCAATACCACACTCACCAGCTGGTCCACACACCTCTCGTCCTCCTCTCTGGCTGTTCAGCAAGTCCTGCCTCCTTGTCAAGAGTGGGCAATGAGCCAAGGAGGCAGGGCAAGGAAGCCCATGTTCCTGCCAGGGACTAGCTACACAGCTGCAGGGGAGAGGAGAGTATGTTGGCTGGTGAGTGGGGAGGATCCATCCCGGGAGGTGGGAGAAGGAAGCGTGCAGCACCTGTGGTGCAGTGCATACAAATAGACACGAACCTCCAAACTCAAGGTTTGTGCCCATCTCTAGTCACAAGCTAAACAGAGTTAGTGGTATTTAAACAAATGCTCCAAGTATCTGGAAGTGAGTCATGGCAACTGGACTTCTTTCATTAGGTTGAAATGTTTTGCTACTCATCCAAGTAGCTTCCTCCTACAAACTCTCCTAAAACTGAAGATGCTGCTTGGATGAGTAGTGAAAAGTTTCAACCTAACAAGAAGTCCAGTTGCCATGACTCAACTTCCACATAACCACACTTGGATAACTGAGAATCTTCTCAGATACAAAAGCCCCAAGGAAACATTTGACACCAAATGTTTGAATATCCATTCTGTGACACCAGAATGCCACAGACTAGTCACTATGGGAACGGTGAACTCCACTGAACAGACAAATGTACTTTTGTTTAAAACACCAGCCCTTCTTTGCTTCCAGATGTAGTATACGATTCTCACTATTCCCAACTGGCTAGAGATTACTACTGTAGCTCATACATCTGGAATGCATCAGTCTGGGCAAGGCTGGTTTATATGATCATCATTTACTCTAAGGTGGAAGAGATGCTCAAAGGATGTTGACTCTCAGATAACTTCAGCCTAGTACACTAGGAAAAATTATTATTACCCAGTACAATGGGCAAGAAATCAATCAGTATAACAAAGTCACTTCCTGATGGCTGCTGGTTTGCAGGGGGGGGAATGCTGGAAAACCTTCAGGAACACTGTTTAGAACTACCCTCTGAAACTACATTTTTGGTACGTTTTTATTCTAGCAATCTGATAGCATTCAATACACTCTATCACTGAGATTAGTTCCTGCAGTTATTCATATTACTAGCAATCTGATAGCATTCAATACACTCTGTCACTGAGATTACTGTAGTTCCTGCAGTTATTCATATTCGGTGTCATATACCAAGTGGGCAGATGGAGGATACTAAGTAATCCTGTACCTTTACAAACATGCTGGCAAGGCATATTTGGGCAGGTACAGACTATCATGCATCATCTTTCAGATGTGATAGTAGGTATACCTACCTAACTCTTAAAAAAGGACAGCTCCACCCTTTTTTGCATTTCACCACTCAGAACTCTGGCCATGTGACCACGGAAAGATTGTCTTCGGACAAACGCTGGCTCTATGGCTTGAAGAGCGGGATGAGCGCCGCCCCCTAGAGTCGGAAACGACTGGACAAAAATTGTCAAGGGGAACCTTTACCTTTACCTTTACAGATTGTCATGCATCATCTTTCAGATGTGATAGAGTGGGGTCTCTACTTAAGAACTTAATCCGTATTGGAAGGTGGTTCTCAAGTGGAAAAGTTCTTATGTAGAATCTGCATTTCCCATAGGAATGCATTGAAAAACATTTAATCCGTATCTGCTCTTTTCCGTCCATAGAAACTAATGGGAAGCTGCTATTCCGCCTTCTGCCACTAGAGGGGGATATTTTTTCTTTTTTTCTTAGGTCAGGGAACAGTGTTAAAAGCACTTCTGACGAAGCTAATTTTGAAGCAATGGACTGAAAACCAATTAATCCGTTCTGGCTGTTTTTTTGTTATGTAGAGGTGCGTTCGTACATTGAAGCATTAGTTCCTATAGGAACTAATGCAAAGCTGGTTAATACGTACTCTACCACTAGGGGGAGAATTTTTTTTAACCTAAGATGACCTAAGGTTAAAAAAAGAGCAGGAAAGGTTTTTTTTTCCTGTTCTTATCTAGGATTTCTGTTCTCAAGTAGAAGCAAAATTTAGCAAACGGAGCTGTTCTTAAGTAGAATTGTTCTTAAGTAGGGACGTTCTTAAGTAGAGACCCCACTGTAGTAGGTATATCTACCTAACTCTTAAAAAAGGACAGCTCCACCCTTTTTTGCATTTCACCACTCAGAACTCACACCTATTAAGCTAGCAAGGAAATGAGGTGGACTCCTTTCCATTCCCCCCCCCATCATGGTTCTTAATCCTGTGCAGTTAATCGCTACAGCACACACAAAAACTCAGTAAATTAAATACTTCACCTCAATACATCACCAACCACAGATGCTAGCATCAATAATTTTAACAGGACTATCTCATATTTTGATGTACTGACACCAGGACTTAGATTACAACTGCTATCACCCACAGTCAGAATGATATTGGAAGTTACAGTCCAATCTAAATGGAATACATTCAGTTTCCATTAAATACATTAGATCCATTAATGGTAATGCAGCATGATGAGACTGGATGAAGCCTCCATGTACATAAGAGCCATGCCCATGCTAAAGACCAGGCCATAGGCCATCTGACACCAGGACTTAGATTACAACTGCTATCACCCACAGTCAGAATGATATTGGAAGTTACAGTCCAATCTAAATGGAATACATTCAGTTTCCATTAAATACATTAGATCCATTAATGGTAATGCAGCATGATGAGACTGGATGAAGCCTCCATGTACATAAGAGCCATGCCCATGCTAAAGACCAGGCCATAGGCCATCCCCTAAGTTTAGATCCATTAATGGTAATGCAGCATGATAAAGCCCAGGCCATAGGCCATCCCCCTAAGTGCTCTGCTTGCAAGCTTTCACAGGCATCTGCCTAGAAATAGACATGGATCTTGATCTGAACCAACAAACCAATCTTTTCCACCACATCATCTTCACCTCACAGAATGCACGTCAGAATTTACTTGCTTTTTGCTAAACACACAAGAGCTATTCTTGGAGTGGGACAGGGAGTCTCTTGGCAATCCATGGAGCACCTTGAAAAAAGATTCTCCTTTGCAGTGCAAAAAGACAACATTTCAGAGTTGGAAGAAACCACAGGAATAATCTAATCCAAAACCACTTCAACACAGAACCTCCAGTGAGAAACCACAGGAATAATCTAATCCAAAACTACATTCAACTGCAGGAACCCTGACAGAGGTTTTCCCAGTCCATGCTTACAATGCATATAGCAAATGACAAGCTATCTCCTCTTCAGTTGGTCTGTTCAGTTGTGGGAAAATTAAGAAGCTCCTTTTAATGTTTACACAAAATCTCATTACTTGTGATTTCTGTCCACTGATTGTACTCTTGCCCTCTAGAGCAACAGATAGTGCTGTCTGCTCCATCTCCTACATCAGAGTTGGGAACTGGGAACCTTTGGACCTTCAGGTGTGTGTATGTGCTTCCTCACCCTGTCACAAGCTACCTATGGCCCATGATAGAGGACCAGAGTTGGGAACTGGGAACCTTTGGACCTCCAGGTGTGTGTATGTGCTTCCTCACCGTCACAAGCCACCTATGGCCCATGATAGAGGATTGTGGGAGCTGTAGTCCAAAACATTTGGAGGGCCAAAACTTCTCTTTCCCAGTTCTCTGTAGACAACCCTTCATATACCCTGTCCATATGACCCTGTCTTTCCTTCTCCAGCCTCTCCTCCAAGAGCAAATTCTGTTCACATGGGTTAAATGCAGAGAAGGGACACTAGACAGAGAGAAATACTGGATAGTTCAGTGGTTTAGGTATCTGGCTGCGTAGCCAGAGATTGGGAGTTCGATTCCCCACTATACCTCCTTGGCAGGGGCTGGAATCGATGATCCCTAGGGTCCCTTCCAAGCTTTGCAGCTCCAAAATTACAATAAAAGCCTTCCTGCCCCTTCACACTGTCCTGCTCAGCCCA